CCCCCCCCCGACATAAAAAAGATTGTATATAATAAAAATATTCTGCAAAAGAACCCGTTCTTTAATTTTGCAGCAACTTTTCTTTCTTTTTTAGATAAGTAGCCTTATACGCTATACATACAGTTAGTCTACTTTCGGGCGATGAGAAACCGGATTTTCCGTTTACATCAAATTCTCTTAAAACAGAAACGTCGGATAAAAATAAAAAAATACCGCATGTTTTATGAGATTAACTATGGGTCATAAATATTTCATTTTTGGCGACCACTCCCTTTTACTTTAAAAGCAGCGTTATACCTTGAAGCACCTGGAAGCAATTGTCCAGAAGATCGGCCAGATAATTCTAAAACAAGGTTTCATTTATTTTTTTCCTGGACATTACATCTCCAAATCAAATTTGTATGTTTTGTGTACGGTATTGTACTGCATGACAATCTGTATTGTACATGATCTTATTTGCCTTATGCACGGTATTGTACAGCATGGGAATCTTTACCGTACATGATTTTGTTTACCTTGTGTACGGTATTGTACTACATGGCAGTCTGTACAGTACATTATCTTATTTACCTTGTGTACGGTATTGGACTGCATGGCAGTCTGTACTGTAATGATCTTTTTTACCTTGTGTACGGTATTGTACTGCATGGAAGTCTGTACTTTACATTATCTTATTTACCATGTGTACGGTATTGTACTGCATGGCAGTCTGTACTTTACATTATCTTATTTACCTTGTATACGGTATTATACTGCATGGCAGTCTGTACTTCTTCCATGGAGAAATCCGGGAGTAAGATTACAGATTCATCCCCGGCATCTTCTATAAAATATATAATTATTGAGATATCTTCAATTTATAGAAATAAACTACAGTGAGCTTCCATCGAGATTGATAAGCCGTGCTACATAGTTTTCCTAAATTGTTAAAACTTATATTTTTCCTGATAAAATTTCAGCTCTTTTCAAGTAAACATGTAGCATTGCGAATTGGCGTTACGATATTTTTTGCTAGTGTAACTTTTCCTAACGTCATTTTTGATTTACGTCGTTTTTTCTACGGGCCCTTAGTCTGTAATATCCCCCGCGCTCGGCCCAATCATGTAGCCAGCGGCGCCTCAGAAGGCCTTTTGTAACCCTATATTATGCGATAGGTTTTTTTTCACAAAGAAAAAATGGCATGTAGTAAAAATGGCGTAGCACTTAGAATATGATTTTAAAAGAAAATTCGCCTGTGCCATTTTTTTCAATTATATAATCTTAACAACTCTTTAAAAGTTACCTAGAAGAAGTAGAGATCTAAGGAACGGAATATCATAGAGAAGAAGTTTATGCGTTCTAATACATCAATAGATTAATTAATAATACGTTTCAAATATTTATGTTAAGGGGACTTTGTTAATCATTTCTACTTAATTTTATATCGTCAGATAATTTTTCTATTTTCTTCTTTGCTATGCAAATAATTCTAGGAGTCACTTTTATAGAGAACCCCAACTTTAAAAAAATCTAGTTTCAGATAAAAAAACAGAACTATTCTTTTTGTTATGACAAAGGTTTAACGGGTATCTCTGTGAATCTGTCATGGTTTTTTATTTGTCTCTTATTTAAAATTACGTGTCTGTCCCTATTAGCCTAAAGAAAAAGTATTGATGGTGTCTTTTTTCAATGTAAAAAATGAATTATTCAACCAATTTAATGAAAAACGCACAGTAAAATCTGCAAAATTTTTCATAGAACTTTATAATCCAATAGCTGAATTACCCGACGCTGCCCCGAGTGCTTATAGTTAATCCCACCGTTTACCCGCGCATGGTCGTGAATTACTATTTTAGCTTTTTTGTTTATCAAAATGGACCCACTCAATTTGAGTCTGGAAACCATCTAATTCCCTTAGTTATCTCGAGTTCCTCAAAATTTTAGGTAAATCTGGATAGGAATTGCTGAGTTATGATCGGACATAAAGAGATTACAACTTTAAATGTATAGATTATAATTGATAATATTCCTGAACTGCCCATCTTGTGCTAGAATAGTACAGTTCTCATGTGCTCTGCTCTCTTCTAAAAACTCCTCCCAGAAACTTGAACCATGGTCAGGAGTAGGAGTAGGAGTAGATAGAATACTACTTGGAGTAGGAGTAGGTAAAATACTACTTGGAGTAGTAGTAGGTAGAATACTACTTGGAGTAGGAGTAGGAAGAATACTAGCTGGCGTAGGAGAAGGAGGTGGTCGGTAGGAGAGATCTAGAAGCTCTTTTCCTTCTGGTTCAGGTGGTCTTTCTTCCTTCATAATACTGGTTTTTTTTAATTATATAAATTCTGAAAAAAAGGTGAAAATTTTATATTCTGTAAAAATCTCAAGGTATTTCTGTGCCAAGCACAGCGGTAAGAACAGACCAGGGGTCCGAGCGCTGCGGCTAAGACGGGCTTAGGGGCCTACCCAGGAAACATTTTAACCGACTATATTTGCCGATGACAAAGATGACAGATAAATAATTCTGGACCTTTATCTTCGACAATAGTTTGTCGGTGTATATTGGGACGTAATTTGAAAGCTTTAATTTTAATAATTGGACTAATTTTCAGTAGGTTTATGGCATTAGGTTACATAAATGGATGGTGTATCTTTCGACCTAAGCAAATCCGCTATACTCCACTTCTACCTACGCCAAATTCGCTATTCTACACATCCGACCTAAAAGCACGTAGTTTTACAGCTGCTAGATGGACTTACGGAATGATAAAAAAAATTACGAACAAATACAATGATTGAAAATAGAAGAAAAATAGTGTTTGGAATTTAAAAGTTTACATTTATGCCAATACAGGTAGAAGAGTTTGAAGTGTACACTGTTAACAATAGCGCAAGGGGGGTGGAAATGTTTGTGAAGATTAAAATATTTGTAAATTATCAAAACATTATGAAAGTAGAAATATTTCTAGAATTTATTTTTAAGATAACAATAGTCTCGTTCCATCTATTGAGCAAATAAAGATACGATTGTATAAGTTTGCCTCGCAGGGGCTGATTATTAAAAGCGTTTAATTCGTCATTCTTGGCATTGAACCCACTACACAGTGGCAGGGGCACAACTAGGGGCATTTTTTCATATTGGACGGAGATGTTTAGATTTATCTGACGATTTTTATTTTTACGGAATCCCATATTAAATCAGATTATCATGCCATAGTCGAGGAAACTAGTATTTTCTGCATGCAAATTTAAATATTTAGCCCTAAAAAATTTGAAAATGATATAATCTACTTAAATCTTTTGATTTGTATCAAAAATCGCAATTAAGAGCAATAAACGATCTAATATGATGTTGGACACCCTGCATTAAGTACGAAGGACTAAGGAGCTTCGTAAATAAACACATACAATTTTCGCTCATTGCATTTGAGCCTAACCTGAAATCTTTCTTAATGTTTCACATTTAATCCTTAGTGTGTGCAGACTTAATCTTAGCCTTTCTTCTTCTGAAATCCACAAAACATTTAACAAAAAATACCATCTTAATAACAAAGATGTGGAACTGAAGGACTTAACAAAACAATTTTAAATGTGTCAAATTTTATTTCAAAAATAATTTTGTTCTTTTATTACTATTTGTCCAGTGTAAAATATACACTACATCATGCATCAAATAGTTAAATTAAATTACAACAAACATTTTTTAACATTCTTCAGACCAAAAAAAATGGAAACCAAAGTACTTAACTGTTGGGTAAAGAAGATCATGTTTAGATTCATTTCTGGACAAATTGTCGTAATTATAGTCATTTAAATTATGTTAACACTATCCACAAGAATTTGATTAAAGTGATTGATTTATTTGAGGACAGATTGTCCTCCGAAGTTCGCCGCAAGACGGACCTTAGGCCTCTGACCTCGACCTCGACCCTTCTTCTCCGAACTCGGTTTCGGGTTTTCAACTTTTACCCCTTGAGCAACTAATCCATCTTTATTCGTCCGACCCAGGTTTACAGGTTCATCCTAGTACAGAACACAAAGGTTGTTAACAGTGAGGAACCAGAAAACACTGGAATTGGAAAACGAATTTTGGACCTTAAGTTCTGACTTTAAATATGTACAATAAACATAATAAACAGTAATTGTGCAGTGTAAACAGACCCATTTCAATGAAGGGATTTAATAAGTTACTAGTAAAGATGTTTGATTTGTAAAAACATCAAATTTTAATTATTGCTTTAATGTCGTCTTCCTGTTTCACGGTTTTATGGTTATCACTGTATATTAATTAATATTTTGACAAATTATCATAACATTGATAAATCACAGTGAGTCCCATAGCACTGTGGGACTCACTGTGATTTATACTTCAGAAAAAACGAAGAAATTTTCTGAAAAAATGGGGAAAAGACAACGTTTCAATTTTCCTCAAATCAGTGAGGAGGATGTGCTATGTGTGTGTGGAGGGGGGGGGGGAGCAAATTACACCCCTGATTATGTACCTTGAGTTGAAGTGAAGGGCTGGGAGATGACCTGGTCTGACTTGTCTCATCTCTCTCTCGAGACTGAACTGCACGCTTAGCTACCTGCAGGGGAACAAACTGGGACCGATCAGACTAAATACAACATTTGTAAACCTTGGGTGACCTGTGTATACTCTAAAGATTAGGCTATATTGCATAAAGAGATATCATACTAAGGAGATATTTTACCTAAGAGATATTATACTGAGAAGAAATTAATTACGGAGATATTGAACTTAAAAGATATCGAACTAAGGAGATATGAACTATTTTATTTAGCTTTTTAATTTTGGAATAATTTCTTAAATTTGTAGTTCAACAACAAAGATCAAGTGATTTTGTTTACCTTGCTGGCCTGATAGAACCCCTGCTGTCCAGAGTTCCGACCTCCATCATATGACCCTGGCTGACCTGTAGGATATGACCCTGGTTGGCTTTTAGAATTATTCGTGGATTTCCGTGACATTTCATTTTGAAGTGCAGCAACCGCGCTACAAGCGGCGCTCTCATAAGCTTCTTCGATGTTTCCGAAGCATTCTTTTGATGTAAATATTCTTCCGTCTTCCAATGTTACCTCGCCCTGAAAAAAATATATAAATACTAGATATATAAATGCTCAATTTAGATTTTAAAAACTTGATGAACCTCAACCAACCTGCAGCAGGCAGGTGGTTTGATCCTGAACAGCTGTGTAACATGGAGGAGGTTCAGTATTCAATCCAATACTCAGCAATAAATCCCGCAGCTGATCTGACCACTTAGTGCCAGACTGACTTGATGCAGTTGATGAATCAAGAAGTGGATTTCTATCGGATGCGGAGATATTTAACATCTTCTTTATACTCAACTCCATTTCCTGCATAGACCGTCCATCCTTGACCTCTGGTACTTGACCTCCTCCCTGTCCATGAAGAATATCTTTACTGAGACCTCCCACGGCGGCAATTGGTAGATTGCCCTGTTGCAGGGATTGCCACAGGTTTTGCATGTGTTGTTCTTGCTGGAGCTGTGGCTCTGCTTGCGGTTTATGATGTTTGGACTGGCCTCTCCCACGCCCTTTTCCACCTTCTCGCTGCATGATGGACACGCCACCTCTTCCTCTACCAGCTGGGGCAGAACTCTGAAAGAAGACCATATTATATTTTTTCTCAAAATAAACTGGAAAGTATCATGCCCTCTTGCAGCAACGTTATGACGTTACTAGAAAGTGTCAACTCCTTTTTTTCTCAACTGTTGATTGTTGAATTACCTGAATAAACCCCTGCGGAAGGGGTATTGTGGATGGATCAGGGGGTTGCACTAGAAGGGGTTCAGGATCCAGTAGTGGGTTGGCTTTTTTCTCCTTCACTTCAGGTTCCTTGCTACCTTGGCGTTCAAAAGGATTAGGTTTTGGTCCGGAGTATCCTCTACCCTGGTTGTTATAACCTTGCCCTCCAGATACACCTCTGGAAGGCCAATGCTTGGGGGGTCCATCATTCCAACTATTTTTATTTCCTCCGTTATTTCGGGGCGCCTGGAACAGGTTTCAGTTTTAAAACTTGACCAAAGCATAAAATATTAAAATTACTTTAAAAAAAATGAAACATCAATTAAATATAATAGATAATTTTTCGAATTTTCAATTTATCAAAATGAATTTTTTACTTCTAAAAATCCTAACCTGCTGACTGTAACCGCCCTCGTAAGGTTGAACAACTGCCCGAGGCTTATTTCGTCGTCGATCCTCCTTTACCCACTGGGTCTTCTCCTGAACAATGTCCCAAGAGATAGTTTTTTAAAGGGACTGTTTTAGAAAAATTAAAGGACACAGGATGACTCAAACCTTCCCCAATGAGAATTAGACATTTACCCCAACAAAGCAGGATTAAGCCAGCTATTACTGTATTATTGGGGTCTAAAGGGAAAAAAATTAGCAATACAAAGAATAACATTAAATCAACTAGGGACCAGTATGTAGGACCGAACCTCCCCACACCGTTAGTTTTGTTTTAGTAAGCAGAATAGTTAACCCACCTTGAAACTAATGTTGATGAGAGCAAACCCTGGTAATCTGTATCCACGGTCGGGTGAGCAATTAAGAGTCAGCCCACCTAAAATGGTTTATCTTTTTAATCTAAAAAGTTCCTAAGTTATTTAAGTGCATTGCTAGGAATGCGCTTAACCTCAGCTGTCATAATTTGAAAAGAAAAAATTTTACTCGTAAGAATGGCATTTGTTTACACACTACATATCTTGTATTTTTTTATTCATTAACATAAAATGTTTGACTTGATTAGGTTAAGACTTGTTCTAAAAATTGTATATTTTTAAACGAAACAATATTTAGGTAAAAGAGGGGGCTAGTCCTGATATCTAACTTTTAAATTTTGATCGACGAAGATATCGTAGACTTTCAGCTAGTTTCTACCTGTGAATGGCTGGTCAAAGACGACATTATAAAGACGGTCAGCTGGTTCTACCTGTGAATGGTTGTGTCAGAGACGACATTATAAATACAGTCAGATGGTTTCTACCTGTGAATGGTTGGTCGAAGATGACGGTATAAAGACGGTCAGCTGGTTTCTACCTGTGAATGGTTGGTCAAAGACGACATCATAAAGACTGTCGGCTGGCTTTTCTCCTTTCTGAATTCTGATGATGGAACCCCGAAGACCAAGGGGAACGGAAAACCCTTCCCTACAAAAGAAATAATGATCAATAATAGCTGCATGACAGGAATGATTGTGGACTGGTTATCTTATTATTGCAAGGCCGATGAAATTTTGCTAATATAGCATTTAAATATAAAGAACCTGATATTGAATAAAAAATTACCTGACAGTAAATTACAAGTTAGCTGACAGTAAATTATAGTACCTTATATTGAAATTTTAAGTACCTGATATTAACAACTCTATCGAAAAGGTTGAATGTAGTGTTGGGATCCACGAGGCTAGATCCAGCATATTGGTTCGGCATGTAGAGAAGTTTAGGTCGGACCTGAAAAATTTAAAATAATAAAACAGTTAATCATTCTTTAGAGTTGCAATAATAGAGCATCCTTGTGTTAGTCCCTCAATTCCATTTTACCCATTACCCTCTTCGGAANAGTGTAAGAATAAGCATTCTTAAACGCAAGGAAGCGAACAATATTAAAATTGTTCCTCCTGAACCGTGTAATAATGGGAATTCTTTCACGATAGGTTTACTACTATGGAACCGAACAGATATGATATAATAGAGCATCTTTGTTTTAGTCCCTCAATTCCATTTTACCCATTACCCTCTTCGGAAGATAAATGTCCCTTCCACCCTGACTACCTGTAGCGTCCACTCCTTGACAGCCCTTGGTGTTGAAGTTAATGATTCTATTGTTTTTACTACTTCAGAATCCAGTGTCTCAGTACCAAACGGTTGCCTGGTATTGAAATAATATCAAATACTACAAAATCATTAAATCTAAGTAAATTAGAATTTGGGGAACTGCTTGGATTTTTTAACTAAAAATTAATAAAATTTCCATTCATTTCCCCAATTCAGAGAAAAAATTATTTGAACTACGCACGACGCGCAAACATTCTCAAGTTCCAACATGTTGAAAAAACAAGCTTTTTCAAAGAAAATATATTGTATATACCCCGGTTTTCATAAAAGCGACCCTTCAGAGGAAATTTTAACAGGAAGAGTTTCTTATAAGCCAACAGATTTAAAAGTAATATATTTGATTCAACAAACTAAACTCCTGAGTTTAAATTTTAAAAAAATGCTAGATAAGCAGTTTAGCAATACCTATACTACAAGTTCCTCGTTATCTTATTTCAAATCTGGTATTGGATTGTTACCTTGGAGCTTTGAGAGTGGGCAGACCCTCCAACCATGTGATTAGCTCCTTGACCCTGTCCTCAGCTGTCTCTTCATCAAACACATCCATCTCATGAAACATGTCGTTGGATGAATTATTAGAGGACGCAATATACTCAAACACCTCAGGAAACTTTGATTGATAGATTTTCAATACTTCAATACAGGCCATAGAATAGGTCCAACCAGATTCAGATTTCTTTGTGAATCCAGACACCTCTTCACTCTTCTTGTTAAACTTGAGATTAAGGCCGATGTTGGTTTTACTGACAGAGTCTGTCTGCTGTTCTCTTGCTCCCCGTACCAGAAATATGGTCCCAGTAATTCTAATCAAAACAAGATTACAAAAAATTAAGAGTTTTTAAATCCTTTGTGTGATACTAAAATGAGAATACTTCTTACCTGGAAAGAATATGTGATGTAATCCCTATATACTGAGCAGCTTTGTACCCTGTAACATAGTTCTCTTGAAGTTCATTCTGTTTAGCAAACACAGGTCGCAGATCTGGTTCTTCTTGCAGAACAAACTTAAGCCTAATTCGTCCTTGATGTGCAGGATCTATTCCTACTACAGTTCCCATACCTCCATAACATGGTTCACCCAGCATAAAGCACACAGTGTCAGGTTTAAACAGCTCCTCTACTGTACAATACTGCTTTAGAGAAGCATCATGTACTGGTATGTCTGCGACCACAGTCTGCAAAGGGTAAAATTGCGATGTCTTGTGCCATTGCTTCTCCAGGGTTATCCGTCCCCCAGTAGAGGCCATTTCATACCGTCGACCAGACATTGGACAAGCATGGATCAAAATATCTGTGCTTCCAATCTCAATCCCATATCTAGAGCTGTATCGACTTCTAATATCTGACTGGATAGTCTTAAATTCTCTGAGAGGATCTTCTCGCTTGTCCGGATCAGTGTAAAGACATTGAGAGTTACTAACTCCAGTAACCTTTGCCTCAAATAAATGCGGCCATCCTACCCAAACCTCTTTACCAATCATAGCTTTAGCTACTTCAGCAAGTTCAGGTCTACCCTGGTTCTCCAAGGTTAGGATCATATTTTCCCCTCTGCTTGTCTGTTCGAAAACCTTAACCTGGGCTTTACTCAACCTAGCAGTGTGTCTTATATGCTGAAGAGTTGGGAAGCCTGGGAAGAAAACTCCAAGCTTAGCTCCATCCATCAACCCCTTCTTCAGTAAATGCAGCGGAACATTCCAATCATTTCGATCTACTTTGGTCATAGTACAGTGACTCTGTTCAATTGCAGGAAAATATGCAGGAGCTGGGTATTTTCCTAGGCAATCAAGAGAATATGAACAAACATACATTGGGCCGTGAACATTCCTTTCAGCTTCCTCCACAGTCAGCTTAGGATAGAGGGGACCCATTGCAGCCAGCAATCTTTTCTCATCTATAAAGGGAATAAGAACAACTGCTTCCCAGTCTTGTTGCTTTCCATTTAGATCTTGTTCAAAATCTGGTGGATAGTAGTCAATTATCTCACTCTCATTACTTGTCATCAACCATTGGAGGGCAGGAGGAACAAGGTTCTTACTGGCTGCTGGTAGCACAGCTAACAATTGCTCGAAGGGAAGGAAAGGTTTTGACATTTCAAACTCTAGAGTCATGTTGGAAAAACCCTTGATGTCTGTAATCCAGGGTGAAAAGTGGTGAGGGTAGTACCAGGACCAGCTCATACAGCCATTATAATAGTAGTGTAGATTCCATTGGATGGCTCGAACATAACCTTCAGCTTGCTCCCGAAGGGTCTCCTCATTTACCTTGAAGCATAAAAATAATTTCCACTGTACAGAACCAATTTGATGAAAATATGGATTCAATTTTCCAAAATTTTCCAGAAATGAGGGTAGTTTTACCATCATCAGTCCACATTGATTTATGTTCCAAGAACAGATTCACTTTTTAAGTATAATTATAATAAAGATAATTTGACTTAATATTTTCCTTCCCAATTGTTGATTTTATTGGTTTTCCAATTAATTATACTTCTTAAAAACTAATTTGATGTGAATTATTTTAAGCTTTGAAGACGAATAAAATATAAAATATATTTAGTGTCTTACCTGGGCGTATCCAAGTTTATGCATGTAATAATCTCTCTTATGCTGACGAAACTCCATTTGATAGAACCTACTTCTATCCTCACAGTCCAGAGGATCAACCTTAATTATTTTAGTATATTCTATAATGTTCTCAGTCTACTTTGTGAGGGCTAGATGCACAAACAAAAAAATACTGTTTAAAAAAATCAGACAGAAAACGTTTATTAAATCCACGAAATTTACAAGAAATCTGGGCCACTAAAATTACTATTGCAAGAAGTTATAATCATTCTGGCTCTCAGTAACATCTTTAACAGTGAGAATGACCAAGTTAAATTCCTATTGCCAATCATTAGGATATTCTATGCAATGTCAAAAGTGTAGATAATTTAACTAACCTCAGAGTTAGATTCAGAAGAATCAAATTCCATAGCACTATCCATCAGACGTTGAAGGTCTGGCAAGAGAAAAAAAAACTTGAGATGGAATCAATGTGAAAAAGCAGGATCAAAAAGGACACTTACTTTACAAGAAAGATCCTAAACGCCAAGAGAAATTGCTTTCAGAACAGAAAAAAGTAAATGACGGGATGTTAAAGAATTCTAAACCAAATCTGCGCAAATCTTAAGGGTTACTTTAGCAATCCTTCAAAAAATGGAGGTTTAAAAAGTTCTGTTTTCCTGCATTTCTAGCCGAGGGTTGGATTGGATTAACTCCGGGTTCTGGAATACCTTCCAGCATCTCAAAGACATTACTGGGACCTGAAATGAACACGAGTAAAATATCACTTTGAAAAAAACGCATCCTAATTAAAATTTAATATGCTTAATATTTTCATTTAGATTTTACCATTATTTCCAAGAAAAAATATACACCTCTTACCTGGTGTTGGTTCAACCTCAGTTTTTCCATTATTCTTCCTGGCAGTCTTCCCCTCCAACCATTTAGCATCGGAGTAGATATCATCAAACTTCTCAAGCTCACTCTCAGATAGCTGGGCTAGAAACTTCTCAAACCTAACAAATAATAGAGTTTAATAGATTTGGCATCAAATTAGATCATTTACTTTTCTAGCTCACTCTCAGCTGATATAGCTGACCTAACTAATAAAGGATATGATTAATAGCATTTTTTGCCTCATCATGGCATTTGCATTTCATTATAATATTCATTCAAAACAGCAGCAGGGGGGCTTACTTCTTTTTTACTGAACATTTTTTAAATGTGAAAAGGATTGGTTGACATAATGTGAAGTGCAAACAACTGAAGCATGATTTAGTATTATTTCATCGAGAACCTTAAATCCAGCTAGATATGCCCGTCAACTAACGGTTTCAGCTTTACCTAGGCAGATTAAGGGTTCCTCCTTCGTTTATGTACCCTCCCAGGGTCGGCAGTACAGTTTTATAGCAGTTGTACAGCTCAGGTAGAGCTCCCTATTGTACAACACGTCAATAAGTTAATAATTTCAAGTGTATAACAATATTTATTATTTTTAAATACACAGATTCCCAGGTCCCCCAAAATACTTTTTTTTTTTGGGGGGGGGGGGATGCATTTAAAAACAACTCATTCTCTGCAATAAATGCACAGTTTTTTCTATATTAATTTGATTTTTTTTTCTCATTTACTTGATTGATTAATTGATTGTGTTCCTTATTGATGTGCATGTTGGGAAGATGTGGAATGAAATCATTCCCTACAAGGAACCCCATCAGCACCCAGTCATCAATGATGTTCTCAATGTTGTAGAAGGGGAGCGACTTCAACTCTTGGAACTCAAAGTCAAGATACTCTCTGCATCAAACATATCATTATACTTATTCCACAAGAATCTCTGTTTAAAGGAACTGTCTATGAAATCTCGACAAACATTCAATTCGTGGAGTGGCATGTACGGTTCACAACAGCACCCTATCAAGCTTTGATTAAGCAAACATTATGGAAATTGGCAGAGAACGACCATATCTTCCTCATTGTTGTTCGGATGAAGAAAAATACAGTTTTAAAAGAAGGGTCATATCAAATTACGTTGACAGTCCCTTTAATGAGTTGAATTATTAAAAGATTGTATTCCTGAGTAGACTAAGATGAAGAAGATGAAATGTGGTTTCCTCAGGGGTTGGAGTTCTCTTTGAAGTCTGGAATATATATATAGTAGTAGAATATTATTAGTTCATAATATTATCAGAAAGATGGGTTTCACCAGACCAGACAGTATTAAGATAAAGATTTACATTCCACCAGAGGACATGAAAGGACATTGATAATGCCGACGTTCCTACGACGTCGTCCAAAGACGTCAACTTTATTCTCATTTTGTGGATTTTGCCTGTTAAGTTTAAATTAGCACCACGTTTACAGTGTGCAAATTATACATTTAAAATCAATATCAGGTTAAGACAGTTGTTATTCAGATGGACGCTTAAATACATAGCCTGAGACGAGCTTTATAAAGTTTTAAGTTCATAATTGATGAATTTGAAATATAATTTAATTTTAATTTATAATGTATATTGTATAAGCCTTCGATTTAAGTTAAAACGCATTTTTTTTGTTTTACATCTAGAAATATTTAATTTTACATTAAGAAATATTTAATTTTTTCTAAATTTGTCTCCATTATAATTCTCAATAATAACCCAAAAGTTTAGATTTGAGAAACTTGCCTGGGACTTCTTCCCTCCAAACTTAACTTCTTCTCTGAGTAGAGAGAAATGAGGATCATGAGTACACAATCCCAGCATCACTAGGTCAGCATCTAGACCATACAGACAGTGTCTAAACAGAGGTTATTGAGTACACAATCCCAGCATCACTAGGTCAGCATCTAGACCATACAATCACAATTCGAGTGAAAATCCTAAATGCACAAATATGATAATTTTGAACCCGGCCCCGCCCTCTCCCATGTTTTTATATCTACAAACTTTTCCATGTAAAGATAGATAGATAGTAACAAAGGTTATTCTTGTGTAAAATGGAGGGAAGGGTGGGGCCGTCCAGGTGGCATTTTCTTTGAATATACCAAATCCGCTTTAATCTTTTTACCTGGTATTAGGATCATATCCGGGCTGTGCTTTCTCATATCTGATAAAATCCATAATTTTATGCTCTCCCTCTCCTGGGGTCTCATGACCAGATAATATCACCTAAAGAATATCTGTTTTCATATTTTATTTTTATTTTGTTTAGATCAAAGATTTTAGCAATCTAATTATGGTTAATTATGTTCGAGAGATCAGACAACTAGTCAACCAAACATCCCACCCGCCTTTACCAACTCAATAATTCACCAATTCTAAATCCACTATTTTACCATTTCACCATTCCACCAACAAACCAACCGACCGACCGATCAACTGATTGACCAACCAAGAGACCGAGCAATCGACCAACTGACCGACCGACCATACCGACCGACCGACTGACCGAACGACCAACCGACCAACCGACCAAACGACCAACCGACCGACCGACCATACCGACCGACCGAACGACCAACCGACCAACCGACCGAACGACCGACCAACCAGCTAACCTACCTTAGTATTCCTCCAGAGTGAATCTGTAGAAATTTTGTTAGCCACAAAATACTTAAGCTGCTCTTGTAGTCGAACCATAAAGGGTGTTCCAGGTGTGATACAATTTGAGTCAAACCTATTAATAATATTTATATTTATGGTTTTTATTCCAGTTTATTGAACTCTTGTAAATAATTCAGAGTAAATATTAATCAAAATGCTTTGTTGCTTGAAGGAAAAAAAATTTATTTTACCTTGTTGAGATCAAATTATTAATGACTAATATCAAGTCGTATCCTACCTATCTTCTGTAGGAAGGTCTTCTCCTCTATCCCTCGCCTTTTTCTCATTTAGTTCAGCCTCACGAGCAGACCGAAACCTAAAGAAAAAGATAAGTCGAACCCTCCTTTGTTAATTCCTGTATGAAAAGGAGGTAATATATTTAAGAAATTGTATAATAGCGCCAGAATACCTATAATATTTCTGGGAAAAAATGTAGAAGGGTCACTCTGAACCATTAAACTTCGCAATTCAAGTTCAAAGAACATAAAAAGTATCATTTAAAATGGAACGGGAAAGTTTTCATGAAAAAAAGAGGACTCGCCTGACCAGTCTCTCAATCAAATCATGTAATGCAGGGCTTGATTAAAGCTCTACCATACACATTAGACTGACTAAGCTAATGTTTTTGTTCTACCTTCTGCCTCGTTGCTGATTCATCTTTGCTCTTGGAGCTACGCCATCCACAGCCATAAAAAATACCTTAACGATAAAAAGATAAGTTAAACAATTAATTTGCATGAAATATAAAGTTCGAGTTTGTTCTCGTTCAATGGTTCAAATTAATGCAGTAACGGCTAAACCGATTGGAATGTGTGGTTAATAGTCGGTAAAATTGTAAACTAAAATTTCATAACTTTTGAAATTTTACTGAAATGGCCGGAAAATCGACAGAAAAAACTATGTCTTTATTGTCAAATCAGATACAAATAGAAAATGCAGAAAGTGACATGTAAACTATGGTTTCCGGGCTGCTATGCAAATATAAAGGATTCAATAGTGTAATAGTTTTGTTCAAAAGTTGGGAAAAGATTTCAAAAAATATCAATTTTACCTTTCGTGGTTGAATCATTCTGAATAATACTTCAAGATAGTGAAATATGTCTGAATCATATTTTTATTTTCATTTGTGTTTATTAATCCGCTTTCTATAATTCAATTAAAAATAAAAAAAATTGAATCAGTAAATTTTAATTATAATTGAAAATATAAAATTTAATCTTGATATTTTTTTAAAGATTATATCTTATTTATATTTTAATCTATCATTTACTAAGCAACACTTAAATGTGGGCATAAACTTTTTAGGACTAAAATTTATGTATAAAAGTGTTCAAGGTTAAATAACATTAATGAAATTTGTTTTCAACACAGAATAAACAGTGACCTCAACTTGAAAAAGAAAGTTTTAATTTGTGTGTTAAAACGTACAATCTTAAGAACTTCTCAGGTTGACCACTTGGTTCCCTCTTGATATTCAGACATCAAATTCAAAACTGAAAGTTGTAAATCAAAATAGTTTAAAAGATTTTATGTTAAATGACGTCTTTGTAGTATAAAGTTTGCAATGGCTTATTTCATGACACTTCTTCCAAGATGCCATAAGTGTCAATTTCTAAGCAAAGAACAAATTTGCAGTTTAAAATAATGATTTGTAATAGCTGTCATATTTGTAACCAAAATGATACTTTTGATCCTGAAAGAAAAAGATGAATAGTTCAATAAAATCAAATAAAAATGATTCCTGCAAATATTTTCTCCTCTGTAATTCTGAAGTGAGGATCGTCATCATTAGGATGGGAGCAGGTGTGGATAACACCGTTCATGTCCAGGTACAGATTATCAAACTCTGGTATCTGGTACTCCTTTACTACCTACACCAGACATAATTAATATATCTGGTACTCCTTTACTACCTTCACCAGACATGATTAATATATCTGGTACTCCTTTACTACCTACACCAGACAAAATTAATATTTCTGGTTCTCCTTCACTACCTACACCAGACATGATTAATATATCTGGTTCTCCTTTGCTACCTTCACCAGACCTAATTAATATATCAGGTTCTCCTTCGCTACCTTCACCAGACCTAATTAATACATCTGGTACTCCTTCACTTCCTTTACCAGACATAATTAATATATCTGGTACTCCTTCACGTCCTTTACCAGACAAAATTAATATACTGGTACTCCTTCACTACCTTTACCAGACATCTGGTACTCCTTCACTTCCTTTACCAGACCTAATTAATATATCTGGTACTCCTTCACTTCCTTTACCAGACATAATTAATATATCTGGTTCTCCTACGCTACCTTCACCAGACATAATTAATATATGTGGTTCTCCTTCACTTCCTGGTACTCCTTCGCTACCTTCACCAGAACTAATTAATATACTGGTACTCCTTCACTACCTTTACCAGACATAATTAATATATCTGGTACTCCTTCACTACCTTTACCAGAAAAAATTAATATATCTGGTACTCCTTCACTACCTTTAACAGACATGATCCGCATGTAATTCTTCACTACCTAAAGTCATTAGCAATGATCTTGCACGATTGTTTTCAAAATAATAGCCTCGCAACGACTAGATTAAAAATCAGAAAAAGATATTTTTTCCTTCTGTATCAACGGTAAGGATTCCAACCCCTCCCCTAGGTATCACACTCATAATGGCCATAAATCGGAACTACAAAATGGGTTTAAGAAGATCAAGTCCATTATCGGATTTGCGGCAAAGAATATTAGTCTAAAACTTACCTCACTGAGGCAAGGATACCGTTCACTCATGTACCGATAAAACTTCGGAACCCCCATTTTTTCTTTTTCTTCACTCTGAAAATATTAAAGTACAAAGTTTTTATTATTTTATCTAAAGAAAATCTAATAATGTGCTATTGACAAAACTGTAAAAAAAATTGTTAAGTTAATAATGTATTTTAACTAAATACAGCCAATCTCACATATAGCAAGAGCGCATGAAATGTAGTCTTGAAATTTATTGAAATATTAACTGTAATGCTTCATCATTTGTCTACACAAATAAAGCTGCTGAGATGTTCGCAGCTTGTAGAATGTCCCAGTTTTTGATAAATCTGAAGAAACTGCTTTTTATTTTAAATTAAGGGTAAATTAATAGCCCTGAAATATGAAGGACTGATATATTAAACTCGTTTTTTCCGCGCCATTTAATCTTAAAATGTTGAGAATACGACGTTTTAAAAAACTCTTGCTATGTATTCATATATTTGGGATTCACTGTACGTATAATATTGAATTGAAATATCTGTAACAAACAGGTAAAAGATCAAAACACGATTGAAATTAATATTTTGCGAAACAAAAGAAACACTAAAATATTTACGAACAATCCTATTCTAATCTAAGTATTGACCCAACTTCAAATAACATAATATTTATACTATATACATATATATATTATATAATATATATATATATATATATATATATATATATATATATATATATATATATATTTATATATATATTTATATATATATATAGAAATTGCACAATGTTTCATCAGACAATGATTGACAATGATTGCAACATGCCTTTCAATTAACCTTTATATATGACAAATAAGATTATAAATTTAAGTGAATATTAAATTTCAAACTGAATTTTCGTGTTGTTTTAATGCTAATTTACTCAAAAATAAATGTTACTCAAAAGAACAAATTCCGCATTAAAACCCCTCAAATATTCTGTTTATTTCTTTATCAAGAGGACAATTACCTCGGAAAACATGACTTTAAGCTTTTTTTAAAACTTAGAAAACCTTAAAACTAAGTTAGTATACCTAAAAGATTTTAAAAGTTTTTAATGTTCATATAATGTTCTATTAAACTCTGTACTTAACTAGAAAGCCAATTTAAACATCTCAAAATAAAAATAAACAATTTTTCTAGAAGAACATTGATTACGAGTTGGACGATTTTCTGTTTTCTTTCTTTTTAATTCACATAAAGATCGGGTCACTGTAAGCGTGCCCAACGCACAATGTTGACAATTTGTTTCTTGTTAAATCCTATTTTAAGAACTTTCATCGTAATTTTCAGTGACCCCTCATTAATAGGAAGATATAGTCATTTTTAGCTCTGTTTCTGTACCAGAATCCCGCAAGTAACTTGTGTTGAACACCCACAAGTGAGAATAAACAATTTATGACCATAAAACATGGACATTGGACATATCATAAGACTTCCTATCCAAAAAATGAAGTATCGCTTGAAATCTTGTCTACAGTCCCTTTCATTGCTTCAATATTGACTATATGATACTTTGATACTCTGTACTCTCCGAGCTAGTGACAAATGAATTCTTTAACACTGATAAATCTTCTGAACTTTCACCGGTTTCTCTGTAATAACTCCTTCAAATGATTTAGCAATATCCACTGCAAGCTTGTTCAGACCAACACCTACGGCAACAGAGTTAAAGAGGTTCATTTTTACATTAAATCCAATTCTAATCAATAGTTTACAATAACATGTTTATGAAGTGTAGAGCAAACAAAGCATTGCATATAATCAGACAGATTTATTTAGATCCCACATTGCAATGTTTAAGTTTGAACACATAAGCTGAGACTTTATGATCGCGGTTCAATTTGAACGAGGTATCCTTTTAGTTCAGGTTCATAAGTGATATGGAAGATATTGAATTTTGAACCAATGACTCAGTAAATGTGACAAAATTTTGGTCAACAAATGAAACTATGCTGAACTATACTTGAAAAGAAGCAGTTGATACAGTCGTAACTAGTTCAACTACTTCATCGTAAACTAGCTTGAGAACCAAGTGTTGCCCAGGGTACTCATAGTTGCTGTCGCAATTTACATGCGCGTTGTGGTAAAATACGATTTTTGCTATTTTTCCATATAAAAGGGGACCCTGTGGTTCTCCCAATTCCCCATAATAATTTGAAGCAAATCGGTCAAGGGGTTCCTGAGTTCTGATCGAACATACAAACAAACAGATTACAACTTTAGTTATATAGATTTCCATTGCTCAGAAATCAAAATTGGCAAAGTTTCTGCTCTAGAAAGCCAGAAATTTCCGTAAATTTAAAAACTTTTCTGACATTTTATCATCGTGTATGCACATTAAAAAGTTTTAAAATCAAAAAACATTTTGTTTTGACAGCAAACAAACCATCCTTTTCTACAATACCTCTGTAAAAAAAACTATTTGATGATTTACAAAACTATGAATAAAAGTGAACCTTGTAGATTGCAGAGTATAGACACTACTACTCCCTGGGGTAAACTGTTCTGATCAACTACTCCTGAGCTTGGAGCTGAAAAAGAGATAATCAATCATTAAATCATCGAAACAAAACTTACAAAATTAAGGAAAAAAATTGCAAGTTTTTCAGCTTCTAGGTTTCTTAGAAACATTGCTTTTATAATTGATATCAGAGGGCACTGACCTTTACTTTGACCTCCATAAACTCAGAAAATATGAGAAAATACCACTTTTTAAACTCTAATTCAATTATTTTAAGTTAATCAGACATGTTTTCGTACTTTTTGTTACCAAATATAAGTCATCCACTGATATAGATACATATATCCGACCTTCATTTTGGACCTCCCTTTGCTAATGACCTCCAAAAATGGTCATTTATATCTAGAGGTCAAGTGCCTTTAAGATCATCTGAGGTCAAAAAAGGGTATAAGAGTGGAATCAGAACACCAAAAAACCTATGATTTGATACCTCATATGCATTATTTGCATTGATTTCATATTTGACCTCCAGAGGTAAGCAAATTTTGGAGGTCATGACCCCCAGGATCATCTGAGGTCAAAAAGGGGTATCAGAATGAATTCGGAATACCAAAAAACCGGTCATTATCGAATGGAGTTCAAAATGGAGGTTGGATATATGTGTACATATCAGAACATCACTTTTGTGGTAGCAAATTAAATGAAAACAAGCCTAAACTTATAATAATTGGATTATCCCTTATTTTTGAGTTCATAGTGGTCAAAATGGAAGTCAATGACCTCCGATCTCAATTTTTTAGTGATCTATATAAATGATGATGCAAAATTTCAGCCTTCTTTTTCAATTATTAGGACCAAACGCAGTCTGTACAAAATTTGGTGTCACAAAGTGTCTAATTGCCCCCTCTCTTTGACCATGACATGGAAAATTTGACCATGATGTTGATACAGAACTAAAATAATTTCGGAAAATTTTACCATGATCTTGATCCAGATCTAAAATATTTTCGGACAGTTCTACCATGATCTGGATCCGGATTTTAAATAATTTCGGAAAATTTTACCATGATCTGGATCCGGATTTTAAATAATTTCGGAAAATTTTACCATGATCTGGATCCAGATCTAAAATATTTTCGGACAGTTCTACCATGAACTTGATCCAGATCTAAAATATTTCGGAAAATTCTACCATGAACTTGATCCATATCTAAAATATTTCGGAAAATTCTACCATGAACTTGATCCAGATCTAAAATATTTCGGAAAATTCTACCATGATCTGGATCCGGATCTAAAATATTTCGGAAAATTTTACCATGGCCTGGATCCGGATCTACAACAAATTTCTAAAAAATTTACCATGTTTAAATGGATCCGGGTCTAATATAATTCCAGAAAATTTTACCATGGACTGGATCCAAATTGGCATTGCATAAAAGATTACATTATAAAAATTAAATATTTTTTAGACAATTATGTAACCCTCCCTCCCCCCCCTCTCACAGACGCTGTGTTGATGAAATGCTGACGGTCACCGTACAGTTTTCTTTCGAAGAATACAAAAAGCTAACCATCAGTCTAAGCTGAAATATTGATCTGATCTCAATATGCAGATATTTACTAATCTTCAACCAGAGTTCGTTTACATATCTTCTCCTCCTTCTACGGGATACATGTATCCTACTGAAGTACCCTTTCCTGGATACTCTGGATACATCCATCATGATGAATACATATATCCTGGAGTAGAATATATCCAACACTCGACTCCGCCCAACAAAGGAGTTGAAAATATCCAGCACTCCTTGCCAACAATAATGGTTTACCATGGAGTAGAATACCTCCCGTCTCCACCATTAAGCCCAGCTGAGAGAATATATCAGACTCCAAGTCCAGTCGACTACTCTGGTTCACAGTATGATTACTCATCTACACCGAGTCCTACTGACTTCACGCCCCTGACGTACATGCGACCATCTGCGCCCAGTTCTTTAGAGACTCCAGATGAATCCACCAAATACAATCCTTCTGAAGACCCTACAAAAGTCGATCATTTTGAGCAGGACCATGAACTAGATTTTGGTTATCCTGTATGGTCCGATGGGACAAACGGCCCCGCTCCTCAGCAAACAGATATGAAGAAACTGACCAATTCCTACTCAGCAGCTGTCAAGAACAAATCCAACTCGACCACCAATGGATTAAATGGTTTTGAGAACCTTAGCCTTGAAGAAATGTGTGCAGTCATAGTCGAAAACCTTATCTAAATATCTTTAAAACTAAGTTACGATTTATAAAATATATTTTAAACCAATAAAAGACATCCTATAATTAAGTTTAGTTTATTTGTAGGAAGTAGTTAAAAAGAGTCTGGTAAAAAAATAATTGTTAAAGCTCACCCAATTTTGTGCTAGGTACAGGTTTCCACATTTCTTGGACTGTCTCAGATTTTAAGTAACCTTATTAAACAAATAATATTTACGGATAAAGTTTTTTACTAAGCAGAAATAAGATCTTGCCATTACACTAAATAGAATATGGTCTTTGAAAATTAAAATTTAAAGCAATTGTAGACTTAATTTAGTGACCTTCCAATTACAGAATGGCATGTCCAACACACAACAGTACCCTTTAACCCTTTGTTCGATAAAGGAATAAGGATGCATGGCATATCGATCATGTTCTCTTTGAAAGCTAATTATTTTAAATTGTAGTTTATTTATTAAAGTTAGTTACGCATTACTGGTTCAGAAACAATATAGAAAATATCCAAATTATTAAAGGGCATCGTTGTGAGCATGATATGTTCCTCTATAAATAGAATGTAATACTCTTTTAACATTTGATTTTACATATCATACTCTATTAGAATTTTGTTGAAATCAGGAATACCTGGGAGAAATTTCCTAGTCGGGGCCTGCTTATTCACAGCACTATCGATAAATGGAAAGTTCAATAAAAATAACAATATGGCTTTAATCTTTTTTAAAGGGAATCACAACTTAATCCAAACTTTATTCCGTACAGCAAACAGACATAAAAAGTCGTAAAATTGATTGGGAATTCAAATGCATAATATGGATCAGGCTGAAAATTTAGAAATTAGAGAGAAAATTTTTAACTCTAACCCAAAAGAAGGATGTCTCAAGCAATCCCTGTACATTATGATTTGATTTGGATGGCTTTAAAATTTAAACGCTCGCAGTAATACATGAGAGGCCATTTACCGTTGCAACTATTTAATTAATGTCTTCAGACTAAAAACTGATTTGAAAACTTCTAATTAAACTTTCTATTCCTAAAAGGTCCCGGTTGAAAAACAACATCTTGAGCGATAGAGTTCTCCACATCTTCTATTCCAACATAGTTTTCATTATCAGCCTCTTCAGCAGAGTCGGCGGAGGTGGTAAGGTTATTATTTGCATGATTATCACAGGTTTTTATATCTCCAGGCTTGATTGATTGATTGATAAGGATAGGAACGCTTTTCTCCTTGATATTCTCATCTGCTTCAGTTCCAGGACTGGACTCTGTCTTGAGGTCCGCCTTCTCATCAGGAACAGGACCAGGCACAGGTTCCAGGGCCTTGGAGGAGTTAGGGTTTCCCGATTTCTCCGACTTGGTTGGTTTACGCTGGTAACTGTACAGCATAGCATTGCCAAATCTTGTTAAATCCTAGACAACGAAAAGTAAGGGAACGGAATTCTTAAAAAATTAAGTACTAAAAAAAGAGGCAAAAAGCTGATAAGTTTTTGACAGATTCTACCAATTAATCAACTTTCTGCTTTTGGGAAATATTCTCTTCTATATATAAATTTGGCTTGTCTGTCTGTTTGTTTGTCTGTCTGTTTGTATCCAATAAACGTCAAAACGGCTGAACGGATCGGGCCCAAATTTTTTGTGGGACCTCACGGAGCCCCAGGGAAGGTTTATGAATGATCAAAATTTCAAATATTTGTCTCCATCAAATTTCGATCTTCATTAATTTTTTGAAAATTTTGAAAATCCACGAAATTTCGTTGTGAAAATCCGCGAATTATTTTTGTTTTGTTTTACGATGTACACAAAGAGAACATGTTCACAATTAATTTAGAAGATGGGCGCGAAGCGCCCTCTAAGGCTAGTAAAGGAAAAAATCATTTAATTATTCGTGGATTTTACCTGAGCATTAGACAAAAATCCTCCACCCGCCCACTTGTAGCTACAATCAACATACGGGGCATTCTTCAACCGATGATGCGCATCCCGAACGTAGTACTTAGATCTGTTGTAGATAATGGGACCGTTCTCGTCAAGATATGTGTTGTTCATTCCTAGCTCACGAAACTGTTTCTTCATGTACTAAAAATATCATCGTGAAAATACGAACATATTCAAAAGATACAATAAATTGAAAATATTCACAAGTGTAAAAAATAAAAAACATAACATTTTGTTTGTTTAATATTTACCTATAGCATTTTGTTCGAAATTACCAAAAGAATGTTGGAGATATAAAACTTTGTTATATGCATTACATTATACATCTATCAGAATGTTTGAATTATTATGGTTTATTCGATATTCCGAGGAAGATGTTAGTGTATTTTGTATAGAAATACTAATAAATAAATGAAAACCTACTTTATCAAATTTTTCCCCTGTAACGTTTTCAATAACAGCTGCTAGAAGGGTAAAGCCGTGTGTTGAGTACAAAAACTTGGTCCCTAGTTCATAATACTGATTGAACCAACATCAATTTTCTTTGGTTTCAGTTTAATTAAAACCAAGTAAGAGCCTGGTGAAAGCTCCCCCCCACCCCCTTTTCTTGCCGACCACCAGTATTGTGAATTTCCCTGGTTTTGACATAAGCGCGTCGTCTTTAAACAGAGCAAGAGCTTCTTCAGTGGATTTAAACTCTTTCTGTAGGTAATATTCTTTCTTATCAAACTCCGGGCTCGTCTCATCTTCATCCTTTTTATCATAGTGTCTAAATAGGGAAAAAATTAATTTATGAAGAGGACTCCATTTATCTATATATATATAAATATATATATAGTTGTAATCTCTGTTTGTCTGTCTGCTGTATATTTGTTTGTCCGATCAAAACTCAGGAAGCTTTTTGAATCTGCTTTTTGTATGTCCGGTCACATCTCATAACCCCAATCGGCCATGACCGATTTGCCTTCAAGTTTTGATTGGGAAAGTCAATTGAACCACGGGAATGTTCTATTGAGAAAAATTAGGTTCTAGACAATGCTGGGTTCCTTAAGCTAGTACTTCATATTGTTTTATGAACAGGACAAAGACATTGAAACATTTTTTTAATCGCACAGTATATTTTCCTTCTCGGTTAGTTTCTCTGTATGGACATTTTACAGAGAGTATTTTATATTACGATTCTTAGGGACAACATTTGAGTGGTAAGATAGGCTTTGTTGTGGTCACAATTTATAAAATAATGGCGTTATATATCTGTAATGTGTATTTTTAAATACCCATTTAAGAAAGCAAATACCTGACCCCGGAAATATGAGAGCACAGCTGTCTAACGGTCAGCTCAACCTTCTCCCCTTCAATAATCTTCTCCGGCCAGGACGGAATATACTTCGATATATTATCATCTGAAGAAGGAACATGTAGCATTTTAAACTCTTTTCCAGCTTTAACAATGATATGGATATCTATATTTTTATATTTTAAACTCTTTTCCGGCTTTAACAATGATAATTTCAAATTTTCGACTGCAGTTTATCTTTGAAAGTGACTTGCAGATTTATGCAGGTAAGACAAGAAAGGAAAATAACCCAAATGTATCTTCATCATTGTTAAAGGGTATCGTTGTTGAACGGGTGTGTAACTTTTAAAAAAAATGGTCAATTGAATTTACGTAAACAGTTTTTGAGGACGGATAAACTACATTTAGGTTACTAGTTTACTTTAAAGTAACAAATTTCTAGCGCTTCATAAACAGTAATGTGTTCTAATCCCCATTGTGTAAAAATTTAACATAGGGAAAAATACGGCTTTTTGTCGTGACGACAAAAAGCCGGTCTTATCTTTACCTAGATTAACTTTCCCCTCCTCAACAAGTTTAGCGAGCACCGCCATGGTCAAGGACTTGCTGATGCTGGCAATCCTCATGATACATCCTGTTCCAACAAGTAGACGGTTCTCAAGATCAGAATATCCAAACCCATGCTGCCATACAATCTGAATACAAACTAGCTGAAGTGACCGGAGTAACCCGTAGATTTAAAAACATATTTGAAAAAAAAATCCATCTTGGAAAAATTTTAGCATATTTGATCCAGCCGTTTGGCCAGCTATATGACATATATATATACTAGCTTGGGAACCCAGCGTTGCCCTGGTTACTCATACTTACTACCCCTGTTTACCCGCATTTGGTCGATGAATCATTGCTTCATAAAGAAAGGAACAACACACCCCTCCCGCTCCACCCCCCCCCCCATGAAATTGGAGTATGTCTCTAAAATGTTATATTTATCTCGAATGGAAAAGAACTCCCTACATTTTGAGAACTTGTAGAGACCCGAAATCATGTACTAAAAACTATTTTTTTACCTTTCCATTGACAGATATACATACAACCATGCCAGGAGACCCAGCCTCATACATCTTACACCAACACAGATCCCTAAACAGAGTTTATCAATCAATCAATCAGTCCTATCAGTCCTATCAGTCCTATCAGTCCTATCAATCCTATCAATCCTATCAATCCTATCAATCCTATCAATCCTATCAATCCTATCAATCCTATCAATCCTATCAATCCTATCAATCCTATCAATCCTATCAATCCTATCAATCCTATCAATCCTATCAATCCTATAAATCCTACAATCCTATCAATCCTATCGATCCTGTTAATTCTACAATCCTATCGATCCTACCAAATCCTAGTCATATTTAAATAATAAATTAACTAACAATTTTTGACAACCGTCCGCACTTGCTAAATTTTTAAACTGACTGAACAGGGAGGTTTTTCCTCTTAAGAACTTCTGATCATTGAATGGCACAATTAACTAACAAGTATTAACTCAATGCACACAGTACATTGCTCGAAAAATTGCAATGTCAGTAGTTTTATGTTCTCAACTAATCCTTTGTCTTGAATTCAAACATTTATCGCAAGGAAATCGGAAGTACATGAATTCATAATGCATTTATCAGAATTTAGGAAGGAGGGACCCAATAAAACTAAGGACTAACACTTATCACCTCTTCTACTTAGCCCTTGCAACAAATCTTTTATTTTATCCAGGGTAGAAAAAAAAACATTTTAGGCAAAAAATGGTTTCAAGAAATCTGAAAATGTGCCAGAATGTTTAAAAATCTGAATATTCTGACCTGGCTTTACTGATGGCCGATTTGAGTTTCTCCTGCTGGACCTGCTGCCGGCCGAGCTCGTTAGGCCGGACTACTTGCTAAAATAAACAAATCAGTTTTATTTGTAGTTTTTATTTTTGGAAACTCGCTGAACTATTTTTTTAATTTCTTTTAAAATATGCTGAACAAACAGAGTTACCCGTAATAAAAGAATCTTAAATGGATTGGATCTAGTCTAATTCGAAAATGAAGGATGCTTAATGGTAATACTTTATAAAATTGCATTTTCCATTTTCTTTAATTTTCATAAATATAAAATCGGGATATTTCATGATAGTTCCAAGTCGTCTTTGATGTCAAAATCTTAAAATCTTTAGCACTTTTATCTAGTGATGTGCCTTGAGTTACTTCGTTTTTGGGTTGTTTATTCCACGGATTTGACATAGAGTAAGAAGAGCAAATGTCAAAAGCAAATGTTTTTAAAATTGTGTATTCTATTTCTAAACCTTTGCTTTTCTTACAATTTGAACCCTGACAAAAGATATACGCCAAAAAACGACCCAAAAACGCTCCAATAACAAACAAAAAAATCCAAATCGATTGCAATATCGATCGTGCTATTACGATCGTTTTTCCATTTTGTTAAAGGACACAATATTGCCAAGTTTTATTAATAGAGAACGGTTAACAACAATACTTACGTCCGCATTGTAAACTCTGAAATCAATTTGATCTTCCCCTCGACCTGCACTTGATCCAGATTTAGCGTCAGTTCCTGAATTCTCGTGAGAATCCTTAGTTTCAAAAAGCTCTTCCTAAATTAACCAAGGATGTTATCAATGGTGAATTTTCAGGAGATTGGTCAATTTTCAAATAAGAATTTACTAAAATCTTTATAATTCGAGTTTGTTACGCAGACAATTAACTTTAGTGCAGCTGTAAACGCTTGATTGTACCTCATTTCTGTAATTGATTAATTATTTAATATGAATCTGGAACGGATTGTACCTGATATATCTCCGGACCAGGAGGAGCGGAAGAATATAGAACGGTTTGTACCTGATATATCTCCGGGCCAGGAGGAGAGGAAGAATATAGAACGGTTTGTACCTGATATATCTCCGGACCAGGAGGAGAGGAAGAATATAGAACGGTTTGTACTTGATATATCTCCGGACCAGGAGGAGAGGAAGAATATATAAAACGGTACCTGATCGGACCAGGAGGAGAGGAAGGATTTAGAACGGTTTGTACCTGATATATCTCCGAACCAGAAGTAGAGGAAGGATCTAGAACGGATTTTACCTGAGGTATCTCCGGACCAGGAGTAGAGGAAGGATCTAGAACGGATTCTACCTGATATATCTCCGGACCAGGAGGAGAGGAAGGATCTAGAACGGTTTGTACCTGATATATCTCCGGACCAGAAGTAGAGGAAGGATCTAGAACGGTTTGTACCTGATATATCTCCGAACCAGAAGTAGAGGAAGGATCTAGAACGGTTTGTACCTGATATATCTCCGGACCAGAAGTAGAGGAAGGATCTAGAACGGTTTGTACCTGATATATCTCCGATTTTTTTACCTGATTTATCTGATAGAAAGACAGGATTGAACGGAGCAGGTACACATTTATTGGTTTCTGAGATTACCAAAAATTTTACATTTGATGTTTTTGCATTTTTAATATTTAATTCTAATCTGTTTTCAGATTCCAATAATCATAACTAAATTAGGGTTTTTCTTCCTTTTAAACAAAAGTTACTTAAATTTTTCAGGTTTTAAAATCTATTGTTTCGATTTGCAATTTCAAAAGTCAACAATTCAATTTTAAGACAAAACTCTGATTTATAGGCTTGTTTCTCAAATAGCGACAAAAAATATCGGATTAGGATTCAAAATATTAGATAAAACCAGAGTTTATTTAGAAAACTACTGTAAGCTTTTGTTGGCGGTTTAAAAATTACAAGTATCAAAGCCTCGTGCAGTTAAATGCAAAATTGAACATTGCCAATTGAAGTAAGTAAAATTAAATTATTTTTTTTTAGAATGCAAAATTTTTTCCCTGAATGAATAACAAGCGAAGTTTCCCAGTTTCTTGAGCTCGTGATATTATTGTGGTTTGACGAAGAAAATGCGGTTAAATTTGGACTTGTATCTTGACAAACATGAACTGGGTTGTGTACATGACTACTATGTACAGAATCAGGATTGCTGTACAGGGTTGCTGAAGCTAGACTGGCTAAACCAGTTATTTTTAAACCCCGACCAAGCATTTTCACCTGAAAATGAAACTAAAATATCTCAAAAATATAAATCTTTATCATGTCATACGTTCGACTCACAACGGACACAAGACGTAATTTCAGAGTGGCGAGTCGGAGTTCAAAAAATTACACTGGAACCTTTCTCTGATAAAGGGTGTTTAAGATACCCTTCATTTTCTGTTTGAAAATGAATTGTTTGTAATCGTGGTTTCTCTTTAAAACTTTCATGCTAAAGAGACAATGATAGAAACTCTTTTTTACTCTTGCCAAGAAAGACAAAACGACGATCTTTTCATTGTTACTCGAAAGAAGTTTGTACGGTGCAGTTGTCAATTTGAAATGCTCTTCTCTAAATGGAGTGCCGAGCTAGAAATTACGTCTACACTCTACAGTTCTTTTAACATGGTCTTTTAGGCAATAATCTAAATGTATTATTATCAAATATAAGGATAAAATGGAAGAAAAACAAGTTATCAAAAATTATAAAATATTTAACAAGAATTATCACAGATGATCAGATCATATGTTCGCGATCTGTGTAAATTGTATAATTGAAAGAACTTTGCACTTCACAATAAAAGAATAAATCACAGGTTTGTAATGAAGTCCTTGAAAGATGGATACTCAAGTTTCCAACCCAGCAGATTCTTGATCTTTGAACAGTTGTACTTCTTGCCGTCAACCCCGTCGCCTCCAGTAAACTTGATTTCTGGTCCACCACTGAAAATATTAAATATTTAAATCATGTCTGAGGGTTTATTTTTAAAAGAGGTAACCCCGTTCCCAAATGTTCATTTTCCAGCCCCCCCCCCCCAACAGCAATCTTAATTTTGCGGAAAAAAATTCTGACAAACTGTTTGGATTTCACGCAAACTAGGACTAGTTGGCACAGGGTGGGGAGGAGAGAACGATTATTCAAGAAAATTTACTCCTCTGAAGTTGTTAGCCGCTTAATTCTTTATATGTTACGAATTATGAATTTAAACTTCATTGGATTGACGCAATTATCTTGATTCTTCATGTTCTTACCGGTATTTAGTTGAAGCTTGAATATATTCAACAATCTGATTTCTCGAGACAGGAATACCATCTCCAACCAGAAGAACTTCTCCTCCAACCTTCTCCGGGCTTTGCAGGCAGCTAACAACAGCAGAAGCTGCGTCCTGAATATTACCAATCAAAGAAAATCTTTCTTGATTTTAATTGAAGAAAAAAAACTAGAAATTTCTAATAGAAAGGAAGAAAATGAATTTCTTGCGAGATTTTCTTTATTTAAACTTTCAGATCATCTGCCTGAGATCTGAATTGTTATCAAACAAAAATGTTGCTACACATAGACAATTTTACATAATTTGCAATACCACCTTTGCATCTAAAAACGATTAAGAAAATGAATATTTTTGATTGATATTCAAGATTTTATTTTTAAAATGAAATTTTGACAATATTCTTTATCTCCGGCAATAAGACCATATTTAGGTAATGCCGGGAATAGCTGTAACTCATAACTTTATGTATAAAGAACACGCTTCGAAAAATGCTTCAATTCAGAATTTCTTCTGGAATTCCTCCCCCCCATACATCGTTGAAATCATCTCTGGGTTGATCATCAGATTGACCCATCCAACATTTCTTAACAAAACCCTTCAGCTTATAACTTAAAATTTCCCTTTCATATTTAACATTATAACTTTGTTTTACAGGATCTTATATTTCGATTTTGGTTTCAACAGTAACTCTAACATCCTAGAGTTTCTCGAGAAAAATTAACGAAAAAGTTAACAATTTGATTCTGTTGAGCATTAGTTTTCATTGTGCATGTTGTTTTTTTTTCACAAAAATTCACAATAGTAAAAAGTAGAAATAATTTAAATTACGAAAAACGAATATTAAAAGCTTCCTAAAAAGTTCAATAATAGGAAAAACTTTGATCTTTTATAAAACTTTGATAGTGCGGACTGGCCTCCTTAAAGAGTATGGTGTTAAAAAGAACCGGCTCCATAACCCAAATCTAACAGCTGAGAAACTTATCTTTTAAGAACCAAACAACAGTGAGACACATGAAAATGAGCAATACAAAGACGACTGATGTGCTCAAGCTTATATTTTAAAAGTTCACAGATACATTTCACTTAATAACTTGATTTTTAAGTAAAATAACAACATCAAATACACAATAGATTGCTCAAATCACGTCGTCCAATTCTACGTTTTATTGTTCACAAATTTCACAAATTGGGTTCATAAATAAAATTAGAACAGATAACATTAAATGTTGATTTTTATCCATGGGATAGCCTTAAAATTTAAGGATAATCTATTATTATTATTATTATTATTATTATAAAATGTTGTATTCAATGCTATTTATGCAATCTCCGCTTTAGATATATTTCTACCTGATAGTGAATAAAGTTTATTAGTCCATCAGGTTTGCCTGTAAATTCTCCACCCCGTGAATAATAGTTCTGTACTCCAGTATCCTCAGAATACAGTCCTCCCAACCGAACTACACACCCACCCTAATGGTAATTAATAAACATATTAGTTTAGATTAATCATTACATATTTTTTTCTTATTGAGTAGAGATAATTTAGCCTGTCATAAGGGAAAGCATCTGCATCCAAATGGCTTCCAAGTCGCAATTGATGATTATTATCCCTGGAAGAGTTAGGTACTCAACGCAACAGATAGAAGTAAGATTAGTAGCGATCAAAAGCGCTTTTTTATCGCATTGAGCCTATACGCCCTTTCATTTTTCGCGAACACTCCCTTTAAGATAGAAAAACAAGGATTATCTCTTAAATGTTTAAAGGGTACACTGGGGATTGGGTAGGAAACTCTTTAAATTGTGCATAATATGAAATTATGTCTGCAGTCTCAGTTTAATGACGTTTATGAAAGAATAAATTATTTGCTTAATTTTAATGATTTTGCAGTGAATTTCCTTCATTTATTTCACCACCATTATTCTCCTTATATACACTACCCGAGGAGGTAAACACCAAGATTCCTTTACTCCTAAAATATTTTCTAAATGAAAAGTGAGGTAACAGAAGGCTAAATCAGGAGTAAATATTTTTACGAATTTTGGAGGACGAAGTTTATTGAAGATTTGAAGATTATTGAAATGATAAATTGGACGTCAATTGCAAATTGTTAACCAAAAAAATATTTATTTTCCCCTAAAAATCATTTTTTCCCCTAAAAATTTATTTTTCGCTTCGCGCAAACATGCCCAAATTGTACGGGAAAATGATAAATCCAAATAAAAGCTGGTGTGTGTTGTGTACCCAGAGTCCAGACCAATCTCAATCAAAAGTTTCGACCTTAGTTTATTTTATCTTTAAAAACATATATTAGATTGTGTAAAGGGACTGTAGACTTGATATTATGTAATTATTCATTTGTAAAATGTCTGATTCACAACAGTACCCTTTAAACCTTTGCATGATCAAGGGTGACAAAGCTAATCCTATTTAATCCTCAGAAATCATTGAAATTATTGATAACATAGTAAAATATTAATTTTAAATCTAACAAATTTAGATATTTATTGGGTCACAGAAAAATATTTTCCAAGAAATAAGTCAATTTGTTTGAAGTTCACACTGGATGTACAGTGTACAGTGTACACTGTACACAGCATTCAGTCCAGGTTCCTTGTACAGTTTGCACACAATTGTTAGCCATAAAACACACAGAAATCTCCATTGTCAATGATCAGGTTAAGGTTTAAAGGATACAGTTGCAAATATGAAATCCCACTTTACTAATGGAGGGTCACTTGATTGAAATTATTGAAATTAAGTGTCCAGTCACTTTAATACAAAGTATGTAAATTCATCTACATAAAAGTTAAGAATCAAGATTTGTCTTAGTTAACAATTAAAAAATTGTCATTTTTTTATTTTCTGAATGTTAAGAAGTTAAAGTATGGCATTAGGTCACTTACTTGAGAAAGCTGAATCCTTGCTCTACGTCTGCAGGATAATCTGGGTTTCCGTGTGGAGGAGCACAGAATACTACTTTATTCACCTCTAAATAATTAACACTCCTAAGCTGAGAACTCTTGTAACGTGAATATCAAGATCACTACTTGATCTCGATCTTTTGTTAATCTGCAGATTAATTTAATCTTTATTCAATATCCCGCATGGTAATCGTACCCTGCAGGGATGACTGAAATAAAGAGATTGAAAATTCATCCGCAAAAAAATTGGATATCGAGATCACATGATCAGGATTATGAATGATCAACACAAAAGTTCCCAGCTCTGACCATGTATGTCTTGTTCAATTAAACTTGTTTTACGAGAACTCACTTATATCAGATCCTTCAGACAACACTTTGAACCCCTTCTCCTCCATCTCTTTACTTCGCTCTGGATTTTCTGATTTGAACTTGAGATAGATATTTGAACTAGGGTATTCAGATTGCCATTTCTGGGCAATTCTTATGCCAAGTCTTCCAGGACCCAAAACTAATAAATCAGCCATGGTTAATCTGAAAAGGACATCTGTACTGAGAATGATTAAATTGTAAAATGTAAAATTGAAATTTTAGACTCGGTGGAAATTTATTTTCAAAAATATTTTTTTCTTGACTTGCATACATGGTTTGAAAAATAAGAAAAAATTCAAAATTAAAACTTGTGTTGTTTATGAATAAATGCATTTTGTCTTATTCTAATCAAATTTCAAAACTATATCTGCAGAATCCCACAGAAACCTAACAATATGCTCCTTGAGTAGTACTAATAAAGACTGTGTTTAGGATCCATTTTTATGGGGATGTGGATCTGGATCGCGGATCCTCCTTGAAAAAAATGGATACCCGAATTTTCAAATAATTTTTTCTTTTTTTCACTTACTTTTCTGCTTATACTTCATAAATTATTCAGAGGTTAGGAAATTTTATATAATGTCTCCTTTTCAACAGTTCAGTTTTGGATTGAGAGAAAAATGTTTTTAACATTTTTTGGTTCATATTTTGCCCCTTGGATATCTTTGGATCCTCGTATATTTTGCAGATTCAAATTTAGGAAGGAAAATGTTGCAGATCCAACAAATCTTGATCTGGATCCTAAGCACTAAATAAAAAATGATATCAATCAAGTTCTCCAAAATTGCTGGATCCATATTACAAAAGAAGGGTTTTTCAGGCACTGCACAATAAGATGAATGATTTTTTGAAGAACACATTCCACTTTTAATTGTGGATTTGCATAAATCCTCCTTAGTTAGTCAACAGCTCCATAAAAGATTATTTCTGGTATCTGCCCCCCTTGAACCCCAGTCCCATTCGTAGATTCAGAACTGCATTGGAACTGAAATGTTACCCTCTTCACCACAACCTAAAAAGTATTCGAAATTCAGTGAAAATAAACAAAACCAGACTTTTCTATGAGACAAGATGAGAAAATACAGACTATTTAATCCAAGACATCTTGAATTGTAAATTAATATATCAATTCTTCATAATCACAATAAGTACCTCACTGAGTCCCTCCTGGCCAAAGTAAGATAGCTCTGTACCATCCAAAACAGCACTTGCAGTATAGGATTTGTCAGCCTAAGGATATAATTATTTCTTAAAACTCGCATACCCAGTTTTATTTTTATCTAATATCAGATTTATATTTCCTTTACAATCTAACTAAATTCGTTCATCAAGCTCTCCTCCTACATAAAATACCTTGAGACCGTAACAAGACACAATATCTTATACACCTTCCTGGGTTTGGAAAACGCATCAGAAACAAATGATAAGTAAACATGTTTTTTTTAGCAGCTGAGCAGCAAATTAATATCTACTAAAAGGAGACGGTAAGAATTGAGAAAAAGGTTCGCTTCAACTAACCATTATTTCCTACACATTAAATTTCTTGGTGAGCAGTGGAAGTTTATTCATCAATAACATGTATCACAGCATTAAAAGATTCATCACAATTTTATTCTTTAATTTGTATCATTACCTGAGATACAAGTCTCATACAAAAAATTTTTTCATTGGTCAAGAGCAAATAAGGAACTATAAACATTGGAAAGCTGAAAGTATTAAGGCCACTGTTTTAAATCTAACAGTATATCATGTTGCATTGAGATTTAGTATAGATTGAGAGAATATTAATAACTTCTTTGTGTAACAAAGGCACTATCTTGGTAGGGAGATCATTTCTCAAGGAGAGCAAATGCTGCGCCTAAAGCCCAGCTTGTTGAATGACCATTAATTTCTTTGTAAAGTCCTGAAGAGTTATCAAATCAAATAGTACGTAAAAAACTAGCTTTTGGAAGAAATTTAATTTCTGTTGGAAAACCTGGCAGTTTGATCTGTTAAACATTTCATAGAATATTGATAAGAAAAAAAAAACAATTTTAGAAGATTTGAATAGTTTCCTAGTTTAGCATCTGCAGACAGTTTGTAGCCGTGGTGTAAGAGTCCTATATATAGTGGAAATTGTAATTTAACAATAAGTTATTTAATTTGAAAGCCTGTTTTAAAATAACATAACAACTGAAATTTCCACATTCCTGAGATAAATGTAAGATCAACACAAAGAAATGGATGTTCAGAGCTATCACAGGCACTCTTAGCAGCATCAAGAAAATCTTGAACCTGAAAACCAGTTTCATCTTTAAGTAATTTAACAAGTTTGTTTTTCCTTCAAGTGAAAAAAAAAATAAAAATATTGATGTTCTACAACCCCCCCCCCCTCCCTCCCATACCTGAACTACTGCACTTTGTCCATGTTCAATGATTCCTGCATCAACTGCCCGATCATAAAAGTAAGAGAATGCAGCAATCTTTCTTGTGGGTACTTCTTCACACTGATGAACCTTCAGAGTATCCAAAACTCCCATAACCTTGGATAGTTATTTTATTTCTATTTTTTTCCAACATCTACCTAATTCAATATTAACCATATTGCAACTTGTTTAAGGCTGAACAATTAAAGAAGTTATCAATGAAATGATACCTGAATCATGCATGTTTCATAACTTGACTGTTTTGGGTGGAGGTTTATTTCTTTATTATTATACTTCCAGACCAGTGGGTTTGATACACATGGTGAGGCTATAGAGGAGGTGCCTTCTGCTCTAAAAATACAGACAAATGGTTTAAATCTGTCAATCAAATGTTTAAAAACATGAATTGTACACTGTACAGTCTATGAAAACTCGAGTCTTTCTCTATAAGGTCCATTTCTAAAATGTCCATCTCTATAATGTCCATCTGTGAAATATTTATGAAATATTTATCTATGAAATGTTTATCTATAAAATGTCCATCTATTAAAAGGCCATCTATAAAATGTCCCTCTGTGAAATGTCCATCTGTGAAATTTCCAACTGTGAAATTTTCATCTGTGAAATTTCCATCTATGAAATGTCCATCAATGTAATGACTATCTATGTAATGACCATCCATGAAATGTCTATCTATGAAATGTCCATCTTTGAAATGTCCATCTATGAAATGTCCATCTATGTAATGTCCATCTATGAAATGTCCATCTATGAAATGTCCATCTATGAAATATGCATCAATTAAATGTCCATCTATGAAATGTTCATCTTTTAATTGTTTAACTCTAAAATAATCATCCCTGAAATGTCAAGTTTCCAGCCATGAAATATCCACCCAGAAATGTCCACCATAAAATGTCCATCATAAAATGTCCACCCATTAAATTTCCACCCATTACATGTCCACTCATGAAATATCCACCAATGAAATGCCTAACCACGAAATGTCCACCAGTAAAACATTTACCTATAAAATTTCCATCCATGAAATGTTCACCCAAAAAAGGCCACAATTGATATGTCCTCCTATGAAATTGTTGCCATGAAATCTCCCTTTATAGAATGTCCATCAATTAAACATGTTCATCTATGAAATGTCTATCTATGGAAGTCTCCATTTGTCAAAATGTCCATCTATGAATTAGCCATCAAAGAAATGCTATATCAGAAATGGCATTACACCAAACAATTGCTGCATGAGTTCAAAACCTATAACCTGTGGTTAAAAACAGCATCCCTTGCTGCCATCAGACCCAATCCAAGATAGCTATGAGAGTATATTGTCATCTTCCGACTAAAAAATATCTTTTGATAAACACAAAAATATACACAAGTAAAAAAATATTTCAAAAGTCATTTTACATATGTATTTAGGAACAGAATTGAACTTTAAGTAATTCTTATGCTGTGAATTGCTTTTTCCAAAAATGTGTTACTGCCAATATATTTAAACCAAGACTAAGACTGGCTCTGTATTTACTAAGAAAAAATAATTTTTTAATTGTGGTTTTACCTATGGAAATATGCTTTTGCATTGAAGATAAACCACAAATGAACGACTGTTTTGTGGTTAGACGTATAAAATATACAAAAAGTTAAAAGAACATTATCATGATATTATTTATAATTATATAATTGAACTATAATCTCCAACCTGATAACCGAAACTTGATGCAAGAAATCAGAGGGAGTATCCTGGAAGGTTTCATCATACTTGGGACTGAATGTAATCTGAGTAGAGCCTCCTCCCAAATCCAGAGCAACATAAGACTTCCTTAGACAGTAATTTTGACTTTAGCACAGAAAATCGTATAATTCTAGAAACTTATTTAAAGCATCGTGACTTAATATCGGTTCTGTACTGGACCCTTCTTTCTTTACAAATTAAGTTAAAAACACATGCAAAGTTAGGACTATAACCTCTAAACTGAAAAATGGTAAGAAACACAAATCCTGACATCTTTCATTTTTGATTTGAAACCAATAATTAATAAGATAAAAAAATCTTTGAAAAGCTTAAATCCTGAATATCAATTATCAGGGGGGTTATAAGCTTTAAAAGTATATATTTATACCTTGGATTGGTAAGCTGTTCCATTAAAAAGTTTACAGTAATCCATCCATACAATCCTTCATGAAGTTCTGATAAAATCTCTACTCCTCGATTAGAAAACCCAGAGTTCTCAAGGATCTGAATGCAAGGAAACAAATATAAGGTAACAAACCTTTCAGGACACTTTATAAAAACGAAAAAATATTGACTTTAGAATGAATAAATCAAACAAAGAATCTCAAAAAATTAGTAAGTAATTCATTAAACAATTTTTAAAATTGAACCCTACCTTATTTACAGCTAATATAAGACCCTCTGATTTCTTTTGGGGAATCAATCTCAAGCCTAAAACATACAACATTTGGAAAATATGTCTTTAAAAAACGCAAGATGCCACACATGATTTTTTAAAAAACCTTTTACTTAACGTAAAAGTACCCAGGATTCAATCCTGTAAGAAGGACAGAGTTTGATCGAAGATGCACAATGCTCATCCCGATCGTTAGTGCTATGGTCGGCACCTCCCGGCTTATCATGGCTAACAGCTGGCTCAATCAAAGAAAGACTCAGAAGACTTTCAATACTTTCCTAAAATGATCATCCTAGGTTTTACGTGTCTCATACTTCATATGGAATTATATATAATCTGAGAAAAACCAAAATCCAAAATATAAAATATCAAAAACAAAAAAAAACTCATAATAAACAAACAATTTTGTAAAAATTAAGTTATAAATGAGCCAGTGCTTTGCCATGAAACACCTGGAAACTCAATATTTATCAAATTTTCGATTGCTTCCAGATAGGTAAAAAAAACATCATGACTGGTTGACTGCCTTTGTTAAAAGGGGCACTGGACCCTTTATGCATGGGTCCAGTGTCTCTTGGCACTGAACCCACGCAGGGTACATTTACTTGTATTTTAACCTTTCATATATAAAATATTAAGTCTGCTTCAACCATTAATAATAAGATGCCACACAAATTAAAAATACAAAAAAAATAGGTTGTAGAACAGTGGCCGAATTTAAAGAATTTGAACGGCGGTTTAAATTTAAGCCGCGGTTTAAATATGGTTGGTTCCACTTAAAATCGTATAAAATGTTTCAAGATTTAAACCGGTGCTTAATTTAAACCGGGTTTTGGCGGATTTAAACCGCGGGTCAAATTCTTTAAATTCCATCTCAGGACAGATAATAGTCAGAAATCAGGAAAGCAGTGAGTAAACCATTCTAGTTTATACAATGTCAAAGATATTCCCCAATCCAAAATTTACTAACCAGCAGTTGCCTTAAGACTAACAGGTGTTTGTTTCCTCTGATGTGCTGGGACTAGAGCATGAGCTTCATTGATCAGCGCTTGGATTGTCTCAGCTCCGGCTTCAGGATCGTCAGCAAAAGAGGAAAGGCCAGGTTTAACCTCCTGTGTGTCGGACATTTTCAATCGTTCAGACATTGATAATAAATAAAGCCTAATGGCGTTTAACAACATCAACTAAGAAAGGTATAGAAAATGCTTCATAAATTAATGTTTCAAGATTATAAAGTTTTAAAAAGTAGTTTATATTTTCTCCTTTAAAAACCTTTTCAAACCTTCTAAATAATTCATCTTAGAAATATAGTGGTTTCTGATGCCGCTCTTAACTTTGATGACAACGTTCTACCAAAATAAGATTAATAAATAAAAATTAAAAAATATGTATCTCAGATAACATAAAATACAATAACTAATTGAAATCCTTCCTTCCACAGTTCATCAACCAGAAGAAGATTCCCCGTAACAGGGTTTTCATAGAAAGTGAATGCTAAAACCCTGGAACCTGTACTACCAGCATCTGTAATTATAAACAATTTCTCTCATGCATGTAAATTATAAACCTTACATTTTTATGTTTAAAGTTGCTTGCTCAGTCTTACAGACTTACATGTACGAATAAAATGGACTAAAAAAGCAACTTGACTAAAAAAATATACAAAATTCATCTCCTGATATCAATTCAAGTTTACAAAGCCTTTGGCACTTTAGGGGCAATTGGATTCAAATTAAGAAATGTTCTTAGATGTCGACAGCAGTGGCTTTAAATTGCACTATTAAGTACTGTAATTATGACTTTCATAAGTTAAAATATTAAGGAAAGCTTTGCTTAAGATTCAATCCAAATACGAAAAACTTTAATATCCTTAATCTTAAGGAAAAAAGTATAAAGAATTCATATTATTTTTCAATATTATGTAATTTCTGTCTAGATTCAATTGAAGTACAAAACCGCGCAATCAGGATTAGCAGAAAATGAAAATGTAGTTTAGCTTTAAGGATTTCACTACACAGCTATTTTTAAAAAAGTGGTAAACCAAAAACCGTGTAGAATACTCACCTAATACTACAGCGTAGATAATTGGAGAAATCCCAGCATGCATCAGAACATAGTCAATTGTTTTATGTGTTAAAGCTGTAATTGTACTGTCCGGACAGTACATCAGCAGTACACTTAGTATACAAACCACCCCAGACAGAAGTATTATAAGTTTAGTACATGTCTGGTCGATCTTTGATGACCGACGTTCTTTGACTGCAATATCCTCGTTTTCTTCTTGTAAGTTAGTTTCAAGTTTCCGTCGGCGCCGAACAGTTTTGTCTCTCTCCATTTTTGATTTATGTTCTGAAACCATGGCCTTCTACAAAAATGAAAATTTCAACTCTCTCCTTTCATTTCTCGGGTCTGTCCTAGTGAACGATTCAGGCCCAAACGGGTGTTAAGCCCCCCCCCCCCCCCCCCCCCCGCCAATCTATGATAGACAAAAATAACAAAATTCTTCACATCTCCGGTGTAATATTGAAAGCACAAAAATGGCGGACAACATTCTGGAAATGCCAGGACTTGGGAAAATTTTGTGATTATTAACGCTGATCTAGAGTTCTACTTCTAAAATTATGTTTATGAATAAATACATCAAATTATTTCAATGTCAAGGTTAGTGGGACACCCTGTATTTTGACAAACTTTCTTAATTTTTTTGACAACGCATGACTCTCCTACTCCTGATTAGCAATTTAACCTACACACACCATTTGGAAAAATACTTCATTTTAAATATTCATTTAACGTCAGTTACAGAATTTTTCAAAATTCTGTTCCTAATTTTTAGCATAAGTTTAAAAACGTTAAGTTTAAATGACACGGATGTTTTAAATTGAATTTAACGAAGGTCCAACTTACCTCTATTTGAAACAGGTTATGAACTAATATCTTCTATTTGGACTTGATTTGGACCGAATATATGGACTATATCCTCTATTTGGACCGAATGTATGGACTATATCCTCTATTTGGACCGAATGTATGGACTATATCCTCTAAATGGACCGAATGTATGGACTATATCCTCTATTTGGACCAGATATATGAACAAACCTCTATTTGGACCAGATATATGAACTAACCTCTTTTTGTACCGGATGTGAGGACTAACCTCTATTTGGACCGGATGTATAAACTAACCTCTATTTGTACCGGATGTATAAACTAACCTTTTTTGTCCCGGATGTGTGGACTAACTTCTATTTGGACCGAATTTATATGAACTAACCTCTATTTGGACCGGATATATGAACTAACCTCTATTTGGACCGGACATATGAACTAACCTCTATTTGGACCGGATGTATGAACTAATCTCTATTTGGACTAGATATATGAACTAACCTCTTTTTGGACCGGATATATGAACTAACCTCTATTTGGACCGGATATATGAACTAACCTCTATTTGGACCGGATATATGAACTAACCTCTATTTGGACTAGATATATGAACTAACCTCTATTTGGACCGGATATATGAACTAACCTCTATTTGGACCAGATATATGAACTAACCTCTATTTGGACCGGATGGTCAAAGAAGACCTGGAAGGTATTGCTTGAACCGTCTGAGTAGAATCCCTGAGTGTTGGTGGCTAACACTTTCCCACTCTGCTTCAGTTCAATCCTAGAGGAAAAATAATTTTATTAAAGAGGATTGTTCAATATTCAGTATTCACCTATGGAAAACTTTTTTAAATCAACAAAATTTAATGAAAACCCAGGTTTTCCTCACAGTAAAATTCATTATATTCATTAAACCTGACAGTATAGTTGGATCCATCAATGGATCTATACAGACCAAACCTGAATATATTTATTATACCTGACAGTATAGTTGGATCCATCAATGGATCCAGACAGACCAAACCTGAATATATTTATTTTACCTGACAGTATAGATGGATCCATCAATGGATCCATACAGACCAAACCTGAATATATTTATTTTACCTGACAGTATAGTCAGCAGATCCATTACTTGATCCATACAGACCAAACCCAACTATGAAAATTCTTCGGTCCACGCAGAACTGAATAGAATCACACCGACCTCGATACCTTTTTAAAAAATATATTAATATATAAAAAAATTTAATTTTCACAAAAAACTAAAATAAAACTAAATAATGTTATGGAAGATATTTTATCGGAAGATTAATAAAAATAAGTTTATTTAAACAAAAAATTCTAAAAAGTCACCTCCATTGGTTAGATCTATAGGCACTGGACTGGAATCTATGGCAAATCTGAGGTTTCATGCCGATCCTATTCGAAAGATTAATTATTATAAAAGCCTTGATATCTCAAGTGGGGGAGTGTGAGTGTTGGGGGGTTGAGAAGTTAGTGAAGAACTTAGTAATAGATTAGTGAGAGTATCCTTCTCATGAACTAGCCAAATATTTTCATTTAAAGTGTAAAACTAGAAAAACTAGGTACGGCTGGTTTAACTAGACGTTGCTAAATCTAATATGTTACCTAGACTGTACTGGGTACTGAAGTATTGGTTTCTGTCTAGCAGTGAAATTTAGAAATATATCTGTTGTCTCTTGAAGAGAAAGCATTCCAGACTGAGCTAAAAAAGAATATGAGAGGGTAAATCGAGAAAATTAATTTTAATATGAAAAATTGAAACAGGTTTGTTATTTATACCATTGTGTATTACTAAAGTACAATTGTGTATTTCGAATTTCCAAAACTATTCTTTTTAATTCTATGTTAATACATTTTCATCTTTGATCCGATATCCCTGAGTAATTTACAAAAAGTAATGGAAAGGGGCAAATCCTCGTCTTATTTGACCTAATTTCCGATACTGAGAAAACTTATTTTCTTGACGTCTAGAAGTAGATCTTAAGAATTTAATTTGGGAAACCCAGTTTAGAGTCAACAGAGATAGGAATCTATTAACACTAAACAGATAAACTAGTTTGACTAGCTACAACTAGTTCAACTAAATCTCTCTTTTCATAATATCAATATACAGGGTGTCCCAAAAAACATGGGAATTCAGTGACGAATTCGATATCGTCTTTTTAGATAATTCTTTGAGTTAGTAAAGTGATACCTACTGAGAAAGCTGTAATTTGTAAGAGTTTCGTCTGCTAAGTTCACATTTTGTTTGTTTATGTTTTGACTGCATTATTATTATTATTAACAATCAACCTACAGACAACGTATTACGACCTGTAGGCATACTGCATACGGTTGTACTTAGTAAAACAAGAAAATTACAGTATAAAACAGAGTATTTACTTGTCTGTCTTCACTGTTCATCTTGCAGAGACATTATAGACACACCTTTACAGTCTTTTACCCTTTTCATAAAATAAACTCTAGCAGACATAATAATATTATGGCTTTTGAAATAAGGTACTACAATGCTAATTCATAACAAAGACGATATCCAATTCGTCACTGAATTCCCATGTTTTTTGGGACACCCTGTATGTAAACAAGTCACCCAACCTGCTGAATCTGCGAACTCTTCCAACTCCATGGCAGGGAACCTGATTAGGTACATGGCGGAGCCGAGTATATCCCGGCAATGCTGAGGCGTAGGCTCTACACCTTGGCGGACAGCCTCCGCCGCTGCCCAGGTTCGTGCAGCCTAACAATAAATCACAAACTTAAATTTTATAATCATTTGCTAAAAACCATGTAAATGAAAAATGTAAAAACAAATTATTCGCCCTGAAACTTTGATGTCGATTGTTTCCTACCAAAGAACAACAAAAAATTTAAACTTTAACTTTGACAAACAAAAACTTGTTTACTCCAGAACTCTGGCGTAAAGAAATAAATAATTTTTTTTATAATATCTTTGAAACCCAGATTTGTCTGAAAACTAAGCATTCCCGTGTTTCTACCGAGTCCCCCTATCAAAATTTGAGGCAAATCGGTCAAGAGGTTCCTGATTTTTGTTTGGAAATCAAATCAAACAGACAGGCAAACAGAGATTAGTATTGATCAGATAAGGGAAGGATCTGACCCCCCCCCCCCCATCTTGGAGAGCCCAGACTTTAAAATATATACATATTGATGATGTCTTACCTTAAATACTATAATCTCTTTGCAGTTCAATGTTTCCCTATTAAGAATAGTTTCAAGAGTGTGGAAATCTATGTCTGTGAATCCATCCGACAGAAGAGCTATTTCTGCCTAGAATAGTAAAACATGGATAAAACAACCATAAATACGGTTTACCCATAATCATGATGATAGAGACGACCTTATCTATGATAAGAAACGAAAAGGGCTATAAAGGCGTTCATGGGGGCTCAGCCCTCCCCCTGGATCAGTTAAATTCATGGTTTCCAGGGGGTTTTCAGGCCCAAACGGGTGTTAAGCCCCCCCCCCCCTGGACTAAATACGGCCCTGAATTGCTATAAGCTATTATCAAATTCAAAATGGAGGCGACATGCTAGCTATAAACAAGCTTTGTTTTCAAATAAAATGCAATTTCTGTAAGGTATGTAAACAAACGAATTGCTGGTGAGCTCTGTTTATATTCCTCCCAGAAACTGCAGTACACTTCAATTGTAAGCAAAGACATTCTCATATTGAGATAGAACAAATACATTTGTATAAAAAGAAAACAGAGCAGCTATATGGGGCTAAAAATAGAGATTGAAAAGCTATCTCATTACCGGGTCGAGTCTGACGGGTTGGGCTACTTATTTTCTCTAGGGGCAATTTGAAAAAAAAATTGAAACTCTAAGATATAAATAAATAAAGATGAAGAATCTATGCCATTAATTTTATTCAGTGCAGAGAGGTTTAAAAATTTATAAAAAACAGTGGTTATGCAGTATTTATGTAAATGTATATTTGTATCACCCCCCCCCCCCAGGACGAAAAAATCTTGAACCTGAGCGTCAATAACGTCCCAGCATCTCTGCATGAGTTCTGGTTCCTCAAATAGTCTGGACTGGGAGAGAAGCAAGCAGGCGTTTCTCGCACTCAAACTCGTCTCTAGGTACTTCACACACACCCTAGATAGTGGATAGTTGAACAGACAATACAATTGAATCATATAATGGCCAATAACAAAAAATAGAAGACTCTATTTGCCCCCGTACTGCCCCGCCCGTGCTAAACTGGAAGGCGTTAAAGAAGTCCCATTTGTAACATTTTTTCATTCATTTCAACTTTTCATAAAAATAAATAACCTTTTTTACACTAAATTATAAATTGTCGTACTTAGCTAAATGTGGAATGATGTACTTCTTGGCTGCGTAGAGGGTTGCCAGGACGTTGTCAGGCTCGAGGTTAATCTCGTCGCAGTACAAGTAGTTCAACAGAGCTAGGAATGCGTCCGGATCTACGTCAGGAACCAGGATAACCTAAGATGGAAACTGATAAATAGGGAAAATAGTAAGCTACAGTGATAACCAGAAAAGTCTGGAAAAGGAAGTTTATATTTAGATTTAAGTTATGACTTTAAATATAGTCCAATGAACATGAGTCACAGTAACTGTGCAGTATAAACAGGCCCATTCATTTAATAAGTGTCTAGCTATCTATCTATTTATCTATTTTGGTTTGTTTGCAACCTCATGAGACCACAAACATTAACCCTTCAGACAATCCCGTTATCATACAATTGTACGCAGTTAAAAAAGTTTTAAAAAAATGAATTTTAACGTACTAAATTAAAACCCAACACAATTATAAGATATCTGACTTCAACCATTAAAAGATTTAAAATTGTAAGATTTTTTCCTAGTTTCTGCTTCGCAATTGTAAAATAAATTTCCTATTTTCTTCAAGCTAATTAAAAAAATTTCTGACAAACCTCGCTTTCCTCTGCCAAGCTTCCGTACAGCATGGCGTAGAAAACGGTACTCCCGGTGGCGAGTATATATTTGTGTGCCGGAACCCGGCGTTGAGATTCTCCGCCTCCAACCAAGAACCAGACATCCGCCATTAAACTGTTGTTAAACATGGCGGAGTTACGCTCCCGCACACTACTCTTACTAGACTGCCAATTGGGATCCCTGTAAAAAAGTCTTTAAAAAAATCTTAGAAAATTATGTGAATTTGCTGTGCTGTATTTTTTCTTCAAGTTTTAGGAGCTTGAAAAATATCAAATCAATTCAGACCTGTATTTATCTTTTAAGAATTCTTCATAAAATGGAAATTAATTTCTTTTAGTTTTATTACACCATGATCGAATTGAAACGGAGTTAAACTTGATGAACTCCACATACAAACAGAATCTTTTCAATTTTAGATTTAATCAAATTTGATTCATATTTACTGATCTTTGATTGGTTGAAGCTGAAGATTCGGCGGTAAATAATTGACAAAAACAAATCTTCTATTAATTAATAAACTACCGATGTCGGAGGATAAAACTTTTGTTTGTGATATTGATTAATTAGCTTCCACGACTGAACTCAATATCCAGTAAAGAAAGATAGCCGGCAAGGCGTCGTAATCTCAGATTGAAGACACAAAAGTTTAAAGTTGTCCCCCACCTGGTGGTGAGTGCCGGAGATGTTGAGTGGGCTGGTGAGGGTCCAGGAGAGTAGGAAGGAGAAGAGATGAGAACTGATGAACGAGCTAATGAAGGTTGCGATATGGTTTCTATATTGTCAGGTTCAAGGGCAGCCAGGAAATCATTCTCAGTCTCAATCTGTTCCTGCAAGTTATCCTCAGTCAAAAATTTATTTCAAGATTAAAAGATCGGCTAAAATATAAAGGGAAATATTTTTAAAAATACATTTGGAAACAGAAACAGTAATCTCATTTTTCAATCTGAAAATTGCGGGCTCTGATTTAATAGGAATAGGTAAGAAAATAGCCGACGTTTGGCTCATGTAGATAGTTTAAGAAAGAAATTATAAGATTTAGATATGGGGGAAAAATATTGAATGCTAAGTGGCAATTTTTCCCTCTTTTCAATCTGTTTCCCTGAAATATAATTTTTTTCACCACGGATTCTGTGAAAAAAAACCCCAAAGTTTAATTTTGCGCACCGTTTATCATTCCAAGTTAATGGGGGGGGGTAATTTTTCAAGAGAATATATACCCCTGGTCCAAATACCTGAAGAGGTGATGTTGAGTCGGACATGAATGATCTGCTCTGCCAACTTTGAGTAACTGAGTAGTTTTCCTGTCTCACCAATCATTTAAATACATACAAATCATCCCTTTTCAGTGGATTATCTCCAAGCTTTAAAACCAAAATACTGACAGAAAATTAACTAAACCTTGTATTTTTGGCATGCTAATTGATGTTATATTAGCCATGTACAATTTTTAAATGATTAGTTTTTTTAGAAATTTCAGTTACTGTTTCAAAAATCCTAATATATTATAGAGCTGTGCAAGATCCAAAAAGATATGGGAGACCGCACTCGTATCTTAGGGTTACTGTAAGATCTATGGCTCTTTTAATTCTTGATGTTCAGGTTGAATCCAAAAAACCCTGGTCAGAGATTAGATTTTAAAAGCTTAAACCCGAGTAAAACCCGGTCTTTGCGTCTGCTTAGATCCAAGTAAAGCACAAGTCAAGACCCGGGTTCTGGATGGCCTTGAGTTTAGTAAAAACCAACTATCTTGGGTTTTTCTCTCTTGAAGGCTCGAGTCTTTTTTGTAAAATCTTTTTTATTTGTACATTTTAAATCTTGGGAATTATTTATGGTGTCAAATTTTATTAAATATATAAAATAAACATACTATGAAAATAATGTATCTACAAGTTTGAATTTTCGAAATTTACATTTCCTTGTCACAGCTGATCTGACGGCATTCTGTCTGCTACAGAGAGAAAGCTTGCTAAACAATCTCTAATTGGTCGAATCAGAACCAATCCTGACTTGGGTTCTATCTAAACCCGAGTTTCGGTTTTACTTGGGTTTAAGCTTTTAAAATCTTATCTCTGGAGATGCACAATGCACATGAAGATCTATTCGTGTATCTCTCTGTTCCCTGCTTCTATTTCCTTCTCCACTTATACAGAATTGTGTTCTAAACATAAACTGAGAATTTCATTTATAGCTTAAATTAAGTTTTAAATAAATTGTATAAACTCAATTTTACAAACTTAGCTTTGAAAGTTTTAAATACTTAATCCTTAACAACTTTTTTTATCCGTCTAAATATGAAATGCAAGGAAATAATTCAACTATTTAAATCTATATGGTCTATTTATTTCAGACCATGATGGGCTAGGATAAAGCAGTTATCCTGTCTTGTCACTACAGGTTGTGCAATACTAGGTTTATAAAACATCTTCTATAAATGTAAAAGATCTTTAAATCATTTCTAGATTTGTGCTCTTTTAACTATTATATTGAAGTGAATTCAGAACTCTTCTTATGTTTTACCACCTGACCAGAACTATGAACTAATGATTTAACATGTGAAAATACATTCTTAAATGGCTTAGAACTCTGAAGTTCATCCAAAATTTATTTTAACTCCTGATTTATCTCTTAGACTGATCCACCCCTCGCCGTACTCCTGGACAAGGGTAATCTCAACGATGTAACTGTTCGAGAATTCAACGGATCAGATCTACAAACAAGCTGCAGTTTGCCTGACTGCAGAAAGGAGCTTGATATACCTGTCGAGCTGGACTGACTTACCAGCAGAGCACCTCCTTGCTGGGTATCCTACTCACCTTCGCCTCTTCCTACTTGGAGAAGTCTCCTTGGAAACATCATCCCTGTTTCTACTGTTTCCGGGACTGCTGCTACTGAGCAGATAAAGGTGAAGACATACACAAGATTGAGACAAGATTGAGGTCTAATGTCTAACTTAATCATATTTAGATCCTATCGAACCAGACTCGAGTACGTGGACGAGCTATTCTTTTCTCCATGATGATTATATGAGTACCAACTTAACCCGAGCTCCTGACGGGATACATAAAGTTTCATGTGATTTTGCTTAGTGCAAAAAGAGCAAACTTTTAACATTCCCAATATTTACATTCTCAGAATTTTGCGGATTCTTTTAAAGCCGAAACCACTTGAATCATTTAAAACTGCCAAAAAAAATGCCTAACACTAGTCATAAGTAGCTAACTTAAAAGAAAGTTTAAAAAATAAACATTCAGCACATTTTGGATAAGATGCTTAGGGCATTTAGAAGAACCGAATTTTTAGGGCAAAAATTGTAAACATAATCTGTGTTCTCTGTGGCCTAGATTTGAATGCTTAGTCACGAGTTTAATCCAGTAGTCTCAACCCTAACGTTCCAAGTTAGCCCCGACATTATGATTTTTGTTATTTACTGGTTTAAATTTAGACTCAACTCAAACGTAATTCGACGATAAAGTCTTCTTTCAATGACGAGTCATTCCATGTCAAGTCGCCACATGATGGACGGCATGTCACAGATTTTGCTGAAATTTTGCATATAACTCCGACCTCAGAGATCTCAGAACGCTCATCTTCGGGTTCCGGGATTTTTTTTCATAATGCAAGTTGTATTCAAATTTCAGCAACATACATGACATGCCTTCCATGTATAGGTGGTTGACTAAACATGGAATGACCCTGACAGTTTAGTTTTGTAAGGGCATTTTCACAAATTATTAAAATCACGACTTCTGCAAAGCTTCGGCAAATGCAATTCGTATTTCAAATGATTCCTGTAATCTGCGGGGAGCAGGAGGTACCAACGCCATATTTAAAGGCGAGGTAGGAACAGAACAACTGGGGGTGGCCGGCTGGTCAACTTCAGGAATATGCTGGTCAACTGGGTCATGCTGACCACCTTGGGTTTTATGGCCAGCTTCCTCTACTACTGCCTTTTAATCAAACATTTAAAAGTCAAACAAAATGTAAACCGCAAATTGGTTGCTAATAAGATTAAAATTTAAAACAGGTATTCAAATAAAATGGTCTTCACGAGACACGAGGTCTTAAGTCGTCAGTTTTATTTTATATTTGTAAAAAATTAAATGCCATAAAAATTTCAATTTAAGCAAATTAGTTCTCTAGTCTAAAAGTAATTAATTCAACCCCTTTCAACCAACAACGACGTGAAACATAGTTGAAAAAAAAAGCTAAAATAGAGATCAAAGAGAAGAAAATTGGTTTTTCTTAACAATGGTTGTCCTTGCATTTTCCAGTGATATTACTCTTACTGAGAGGCATGCCTGATTCACAACAGTACACTGTAAACCTATTTCTTAATAACAATATGCAAGAGATCGTTCTTTTTCTAGCTTGCAAGAGTTTTATTTACAACTTTCTTCATTGTTTCTGATGAAGAAATGCGCAAGTCATTATATGGTGAAATTACAATTGAATAAATTAATCTAGGTAATTTCTAAAGAGAATGTGATGGATATGATCTCTTGCTTTCGTGATCAGACAATGCTTTCAAGTGTATCGTTGTCAATCAAACATATGTCACTCTACAGATTTACAAGTCACAGGAAAGTCCATCTGTATCAATCACCTGTGTTGGTTGTGAAGTCTCTGATTGAAGTTTCTCATGGGAATCTGGTCTCACACCCTCGGACATGTTTTCTAGTAGAAAATACAAATAAAACATTTTTATGGTACTTGTCTTTGATTGAAAGATGAGATCAAAAAATAAAAAGAACGATTAAAGTAGTTTCTAACATTCACAGAAATTGTTGACAAAATAACAAAGATTTAAAATAATATAAGATTGAAAAATAATATTATTACTTATTGCAAAAAAAGTTTAAAAAACAATTAATTAACAATCTAAAAATATTAACATGAAAATACAAATTAGACAAACTTTACATTAAAATAGAAAAAAAATTAATTACATTATATATTATACAAATTTCATTTTTTAAAAAGGTACAAAAAGTTTTTTGTCGGCTTTGAGTCTTCTTGCAAGGGTCTGTAGGCGTCATTTCAGGTAACCATTTATTTATGAAGTGGCATATCCGATTCACAACAGTATCCTTTAAAGCATTATTTAATCAAATAGAAATTAAATTATCCATGTTTATATTTTTGAAAACTGGTAACTTTCAATTGTGGTTTCTCTACTGTCTCGTATGTGATTCATTTCTAAGAGAAGCCACTACATAAGATCTGTTTTCAAATGGAACATTAAGGTGCATAGTTTACCAGAACTTGGATAAGCTGAATCGATTATGTCACCCCATCAATTAAGGTCAACTAAAATTACGATGACAGTACCATACTCTGTACTCACAGTTCACCTCAGCTATGAAGTAGGTTTCAAAATCAGAGACACCTGACCTGAGTTTCTTTCAGATTCTGAAAGTAGACTATATCTAGAACTAGCAAATAGATTTTTAGAAATCCTTGTCTAGTCCTTTTTGAGAAAATTCCATTTAAACTTTGTTATGTAGTTTAGACTGAAAAAAGGCGTTTGACTCAAAAGTGTTCATGAGATGATTAGGCAATCCAAAGTCTTCTGAGCTTTTCTGATTAATTATTATCATCATATGATAATATCTATCAATGTAGAAAGGTCTACTACTACTTTCAGACTCTGAAAAAACCTGAGGTGTCTCTGTTTTTCAAACCTACTTGATAGCTGAGGGGAACGTTGTATAACTCTTAGTTCCCGGTTTAGGACTATAGCAAAGAATTGTTGACATGATTCGCTTTACAATGAACAATAAACTCCGAGACTGGATCTGAATCTGAATCCATCCTCATTGTTCCCGTGATCTCTTCGTTCTCCACCAGGGGTAAGAACAGGGCTACAAACTCAGAGCTGTAGGGCGGAGCTATTGTCTCTAAAACCTCCGTCACAAAATATCTAAAATAATTTCATTCAAAGATTGCTTCAACTATGAAATATATTTTCAAAAATTTTCGATGGTCTTTGAGGGGACGCATGAATTATTTAACACCCCCTTTAACCCCCATTATCACCCATTTAACCAAAAACTGATATATTTATCAAATTCAGTGGATAAATAAATCCTTTTAAAAAGATATCCTTCTGGGGGGAGGGGGGGGGGGAATCACAATATTTTTGTGTGGATTATCGTCAATCTTGAACACTTGATCTCAATATCCAATGTGGACATTTTTGAATTTACGGATCAATGCATGGTCTCTGCTGGGTATAACCTCCACGAGATATCGAAGAGGAATTAGATTAATCTGTAAGTCTGCAAAGGATCGAGATCAATTAGCATTGATCTAAAAATTGAAAAGTACCCAAACTGGATAATTAGACTGTAAAAAAATCTATTTAATTTCAAACAAATCATTCAGATATTACACCCTATGGTCATCGAATATCTTTCGCCACATTTGTATATAGTTGATTTTTCATAATATGTTTTGATTTTATTTTTTAAAATAACATTTAGCTTTCAACTTGTTTTCGAACATTCCTGGAAAATATGAAAATGTCGTCTTCATTACCAAAAATCCTCGAAACAGGAATAAATGTTTTTATAAGTAACTCTCAGATCATAACAATTAAAACATATTATGAAAAATCAACTATATTATACAAATGTGGCGAAAGATAATCGATGGCCATAGGGTGTAATATCTGAATGATTTGTTTGAAATTAAATAGATTTTTTTACAGTCTAAGTCGTATGTTGCATCTTTCTGAATTTGTATGGATACTACGTTCTTTGGTATTAGTCGTTTTTAACAATTTTCTCCTTATAGACGCAACAGATAGAAGTAAGATTAGAAGCGATCAAAAGCGCTTTTTTATCACATTAAGCCTATACCCCCTTTAATTTTTCGCGAACACTCCCTTTAAAACCCCTAAATAATGCAAAACATTTTGAGAGTAGAATGGTTTTTTAAAGATGGGAGGAAATAATTTATCAACAACAAAAAATAGCCTGGGAGAGATACTAACCTAATCAATGATATATCTGTATCTGTATTTCTCCAACACTGTGCCATGTATTTAACTACAGGTAGAACGTATCCCCTGGATAGTAGATTGACCAGCCTATCCACCAACATCTTCTTGATTTCAAGAGCAGCAAGGATTTCCATCTCACCTAGGCAATATTCAATCAGAATTTGATTGCTTAAAAAAGTTATTTCCCTTTTTTCCCCCGTGGTGAAAATATTTTTTTGATTTTAAATATGTAAATAACAGAAAATCGCCAAGTCGTCAAAAAAAATACCAAACCAAATATGATTGTTTTATTTTTTTGGGGGTGGGGGGATGTGGTCAAGAAAAATTGGACTTTAAACTGGAAAGTTTTTTCCTTGTTTTAATTCTTTTAACCCCAAAACTCAATATCATTAATTTACCCTTAAGTGGCAATAAAAATAAAAAAATAATTTTATCATGCATAATTTTTCAACTATCATTTCAAAATTAAATTTATTCTGCACTCTCCAAACCAAAAATGACTATATAACCCAGAAAAACTAGATAACTAAATCCTACCGTATGAACCCTCGAACAGGGTTGTGAAGAGAGTGAGAACCTTAGAGTGGAGGAGAGGATGGTTAGCTACTACCTCGTCCAGCAGGGCCAGGTGCAGGGGACAGTAGTCACTAGTAATACATAAAATCAATCAATATGTCAACCAACCATTCGTTCAATAACCCAACCAATCAAAAAATCAATTCATCAATTCATCAATTTATCAATTTATCAATCAATAAATCAATCAATAAATCAATCAACAAATCACTCATATGTAGATAGAATCAATTAATCAATCAATCAAATGTAGACCATTCATTCCATATCATAACCAGCAAACCATTCAACCAACCAACCAACCGAACAATCAATCAATAAATCATTTCAATGCAAAATCAATCAACCAAATCATCAACCACATCGATAAACCAACACATTAACCAAATCAATTATTTAATCTCCCCCTTCCTCAATTAATTAAATAATCAAGTATTGTAACAAGCGGCCCGTCAAAGCATAAATCCGATAAACCTCCCTCGAACTATGCTCTCCTCGAGTGTTTTATTTATTTTATATTATCCTAGCATTGTTATGTTTTGAAGTAGAAGTTTTACAAGGGGAAATTTTCCTTTCAGAAATTATCTTTGATTATTTTACTCCTGAGATATAGTTTACCACGTTTACCTGTTTAAAGAGAAGTAGTTAGAAGCTGATACGATACATTCGACCCATCTAATAACTCCCACGGATACAACAGGGAATTTGATACACTGATACAGGGCATTTAGTTCAGCTAACAGCTCAACATTTCCTAGAGAGATTCAGATTAGTTAAATAATAGTTCAACTAACAGCTCAACATTTCATAGAGATTCAGATTAGTTAAATAATAGTTCAGCTAACAGCTCAACATTTCCTAAAGGGATTCAGATTAGTAAAATAATAGTTGCCAGAGAAAAAAATCGCTGCTCTTTTTAAAATTTGGTCTAAAAATAAATTGTTAAAAAAATTTTCTTAACCTGTTCCTAAACAACTAATTAGTTAACTGTAGAATTTTTGTCACAGTTTTCATGGTCGTCATGGAATAATTTAAATAAAACAGTTCTCAAAATAATCCCCCCAAAATGGACAATCTATGAGGATTTTAAAGATTGTATTTGCGCTCTTGCAGAAAAAATATGCACCGTAAACACATCTAATAGGTCTCAAAATAATCCTGAATTTTTTTTAATATTACTGCAATCTCCACACATTGCCGGTCACTCCCATTAAATATTTTAGCTAACAGCATAACAATTCATATTACGGTACACATTGTACAATGTACAGTGTACACTTTGTGAATGTGATAAGGGTTTCCAAGGTACTCAATTTTCGGCTAGAAAAGAAAGGATATCCCCGTTGTCGATGATCAAACACGTATACATTTGTAGAACAACACCACTTGTTAATAGGTAAAAGGAGTAAGATCTGACCCCCCCACTGTACATACAAACTACCTTTATTAGCTGAGCAGATTGAGTGTACTTTCTCCAGTGCTTGCATTGTACCTTTCACCTAGACAAAAATTTAAAGAGACTATAGACGACATTTTTAGTGGCCCTTCATATTAAGATTCACAACGGTACCCTTTAAGCCTCTATCTGAGTAAACATAAGGAAGAAATGTGTTATATTCTTACAATTTTCCTATTCCCTTATATAGAAAACCAGATAAGAATATAATAAATTTTTCAGTTAGAGAAATAAGGATATTTCATTAATTCTTGAACATACAAAGGCATAAACTTTTCTTTAGCAGTGATTTAAATGCAATGCACTGAATAGCATGATTCGTGAGAAAGTTTTAATAATAGTTTATCTAATTAATAAAGCCCTTTGCTTATATATTCATATATTTATATGTTAGCTTTAGCCGGCCAAATTACTTTTAAAGAAACCCAGGGATAACATAGGCTATCAAAAATTGGAATTTATTTTAAACTCTTATTTCTTTTTTTTTTTAATTGTTTTATAAAATCGATTTTTTTGTAAAATTCAATTTTTTTAATTCTACGGGGAACGCCAGGCCGGGCACTTTAAATAAATTCTTGGATAAAACTATTAACGACCCACACCTCGTCCTTGTTGAGGGTCTTCCTGTTCCCTTTCTTCATTGACCAGGTATCACACACACTAGAAGCGTAGGCCAAAAGGAATATGTATTTAGACTTGTGCTCCTGGAAGGAAACAAACATTAGAAAATTAAACAAACAAACAAAGTCTTTCGTCTGTGTACAGTATAAAAATGAATATATAAATAAATGTCGATAAAGTGAAATCTATCTGGGCTGAAATTAAGTCCACGCTTTCAAATCAAATCGTGTAAAAAAATAACACTTTATATTTTCAATTTGTGGTTGCAATATTTCTAATTATTTTCCTGGTTTATTTTCGCCCCTGGTCTAAAGAGCGCTTCTATCAGCAGCTGCAGAAACTAAACAAATAGTTCATTTAAAATTATTTAAATAATAAATTCAAAATCACAAAGATCTATTTTTAAAAAAATATATTTTTTTTTCAAGAAAACTTAATTTCTTACGCGCATTTTATACATTAATGTACCCTATACCTGGGGTATCCTTATTAGTTCAACTGGAGGTGGATCACTGGAACTGTACAGTTTATGTAGCTGTACAATATCTGCAGGGTTCAAAGTGTTCCTGTACAAAAAAAAGGTAAAGTGTAAAATGTATTGATGATTGTAGAATTTCTTACAGTATCTATATAATAAAACAAGACATTCATATATATATTGCGTATAGCCGGACAAACGGCTGGACCGAATGAGCCGAAAAATTATGTGGACAGTAATGGGTGGCCGCGGGTTGGTATAAGCTTAAAACATACGATAATTTTTGTTCCTCCCAAATTTTTTTTTCCACGGGCAACGCCTTCAGCTTGTATATAATATATTTGAAAATATTGATATTTGAAGATATAGAGGGGTATAAAAATGAACGTTACAAAACTTGTTCCAAAAAAACATTTATTTTCCCACATCAGCAATTAAAATAGCTAAATTACCTTGAAAGCATACTAGATAACATATGTGCAGCTTTACTATGCTGGAATCCAGCCATTAAAGCCATTGTAATCGGTGTCACGTCATGGTGAGCCTAAATCAATCAATCAATCAATCAATCAAGCAGTGAACCATCCACCCAATAAATTAATAGAATACAAAAAGAAAGTTTTTTTACTCAATCAATCAAAAGGATACATTAAGAAAGTTGTATTTAAGAAATGTATTTAGGAATTAGGAAATCCAAATTCGTATAACTCACATTTATTGGAAGGATGTGTCTACAATGCACTAGTTCAATAATTGTATATTCTTAGAACAGAATTCCAATAAAAATGATGATAATATTAATATTACTTTTAATGATCCCCTTGCAAACCAATAGTTATTTTCCGAAGTGATTAAAAAGTTTTTTGCCCTCGCGGAGATTTATTTTAAGAAAAAAATAGTTTTTATGTTGAAAATTGAAGATTATTTCTTGAAGGACGTTCGGGTAATTTGTTATTTTTTTAGTTCAAGCAGTGATTAGGACCGGATCCGGATCCGTTGGATTCGCTATTTTTGGGCCTATTGGAACCAAGTGCAAAATATCAACCAAAACTGCAAAAATTCCTTTGCTCTCAAAACTAAAATCTGATCTGTTGAAAAAAGAGAGATTTTCAAAAATGGCCTTGTCTTCTGTTAAAAAATCAGTAAATCTTAAATAAATATTCATGGCCTGAATCCTTTTTATGCAGTGTGGATCCAGGATCCAGATCCGCCTCAAAATTAAATAGATCCTAAGCACCGAGTTCAAGGGTAATACAGTTTCAAGAATTAAAAATGTTCAAACCTTTATTGCTTGTTTCTGAACTTCCTGTTGCAATCTTCTGATCACGTGACCACCACGCTGCTCAGAACCCAACACGGAGAACAGAACCTAGAAAGAAGAAACCTTTCTAAAAAATTAATAAGTACGTATTATTGAAGAAATTATTACGGCAGGGGTTATGTTTTTTTTAGAATCTTTTACTAAAGGTACTTGCACAGGTCCGCAATCCGCGTGCGTATTAATGTGAAATAGTGCCAGGCGCGTAAACGAATCTGCGCATAGAAAAACGTAATTGTAAACTGTTCTGTACGTAAACGAATGTATATGTAAACTTATGCAATATGCATGTTAAAATGACCTGCGCGTAAACGTATGTGTGCTGACCATGGCAAACCATGTTTGCGCACTCCTCCAGGTTTCTCTGCATCGTCTCCGGGGTAGAGCCAAGGTAGGACGACACACTCGTCTTCAAAATTCTGAGAAACGTATTAAATACTAAGAGTTACATTCACTTTGCACAACTGTACCCTTCCAACCTAATCTAGAAAGAGAACGTCGTTTTACTATCATAAAAAGAGAAAAAGTATGTCAATTTTCTTCCTTTGATAAGTCCAATAAATCCGCAAGTTGCTATGATAAAGAACGTTGTAAATCGGGTTCATTAGTCAGTGTGAAATAGAGAGGGTAATTGAAATACGTGGACAGTCCCTTTTGTGTTCCACCAAATAAGACGATAGTAGTAAATTCTGAAAAGAAAGAGAAAGAGAAAAATAAAATCGATTTAAAATATTCAAAAAAAAGGTAGAAATTTGAACATTTGAAAATCTCCCCTCCCCAGTGTGCAAGTTTGGGACTCAGATCGCCAACCGGGTTAAATCTCTTCTCTTTAGATATAAAACTAAAAAGCAAAGTCCAAAACTTTCTAATTCAGCAGTTAAGAATTATAATACCTTGAGAAAACTTCAATCTGCTGAGCTGCTGTTGATATACTGGTAATCTCCGCCTGATGTCCTGCATCAGAGATCAGTTTGATCGTGAAGTTTAACATAAGGCAGTCAGGATAGTCCTCAGCTAGTCTGTAAATCAACGACCTCCAGGTCGGGTACTCGATGAGCTCGGCCAACCAGCTCGGAGTCTCACCCTCCTCAGCAAAGATGGCGTCGGCCTTTTTCGGATCAAAGGTCTTTAAGATCATGTCGTGCAGATGGTTTTCCACTAATCAATCAGAAAATCAACTTATCAATCGGTAAATTAATTCATAAAATAAAAAATTAATTTATTAATTTGTCGATCAGACAGTCAATTTATCAACCAGACAATCAATTCCTAAGACAATCAATTTATCAATTTGACAATCAATTAATCAGGTAATCAATTCAACAATAAGACGATCAATATTTATCAATCATTCAATCAACAGGACAATATCAATCAATCAATCAATTAGACAAGATCAATCGATCAATCAATCCGATAATCAATTTATTAATGGGACTATTGACTACTTACCAAGTTGCTGAACCGTCTGTATCTCTGCCCCGGCAAGGATTAACCACTCCGCCATCAAGTTCGCCATCTGGGCCACGGCGATATAATTGCTGGACAACAGGTCAATAACCTTGATATATTTTTCGGTACTTATTTTTTATCTTAAATAAATCTGACATTTGGGGGAAAAAGGAAATTTTTGATATCAACTGGCAAGTTTTTCCTACTTCTTGATGCTTATCAGTGCTTAGGATCCATTTAATTTTGATGCGGATCCGGATCTGGATCCTGGATCCGCACTGGAAAAAAATGGATTCAGGTCATAAACATTACATTTACTGTATTTTTTAACATAGCAGAATAGTCAAATTATTTTTCTTAATATTTTGCTTTTTTTAATGCTCAAACTTGTTTCAACCATTCAGAGATCAGGAAATTTTCATATTCTCTCTTTTTTCAACAAGATTTGGGTTTTGAGAGTAAAAAGCTTCGTTTTGCCGTTTTTGGTCGATATTTTATTCCTTGGATCCCGATCCGTGGATCCTCAACTTTTCGCGGATCCGGATTCAGGAAGCCAAAATCTTGCGAATCCAACGGATCCAGATCCTAAGCACTGATACTTATTATACAAATGTTCGTAATTATTTTCCACTTAAATTCTTGAATTTTCCTGTTAAACAAATATTTTTAACACATGGGGGGATTTTTTTCACCAAATATGTACCCCTGATTTTTTTTATTAAATTAAACAAATTTAACCTGTTCAGGATTCCCCCCGGACTGAAAATATTTCTTGAGCTGTGAAAAAATTTCCGGTTCCATGATAAAATCCGGAGATCCGAACTTGTCCAAGCACTGCTTCAGGGTCTCCTGTGGAACCTCTTCACCAAGATCTTCTTCATCCTCTTCATCTCCCTCTTCCATACCCTCAACTCCACCCTCTGCAAAAATTTTATTCTAACCATTTTGAAGTCTATCTATTAAAAATGTTCCTCCTGCTACATAACTACTTTAAACTTAAAACATTCGGCCTCAGATCTTAATTACCTCTGAAATCCTCGTTAAGAATTTATCAAACACGAATATGTTCAAATAAGAAAAATAGGTTTTTGACCAGTGCTTTTTAAAAATAACTAATTGTTAAGTTAACATTGTTAATACATAAATCCACTAATCTACAAATCAATCTATCAATCAATCAACCAGTCAATCTATCTATCAATGAATAAGAAATAACTCTATAAAATTTGTTTCATCAAAATAAATTATTTAAGAACAAATTAGATTCCATTTATTATACTGAATTTGATAAAAATGAAGAAAAAAAACATCTTGAAACGATCATACAATTTTCGAATCTTAAGAACAAAATCCTCCAAAATTGTCGCGAATTTCTCACTTTATAAAGAAAAGGATAGTTTTTAAGTACCTGTATGAAAACCTCCATTGTTAGGATAATATTCTTCAGTTTCAGATTCCATTCTATAATCTGAAAACAAAACAATACAGGAGGGGTGGATCACAACTCTCACAACACAAGGACAAAACAACGACCTTTCTATACAAATAGAAAATTAATTCAAATTTCATAATTTTCAAACAAAAAAAGTAAAATTAACAATTTCATATTATAAACAAATATTTATAAAAATTCATAAAACTAATTTGATGGTTGAAAAAAATCATTTATATAATAATTTTTTAATTAGAAATATTTAAAAATAAAAACAATGCAGTAGGTAATATATTGCAAGAAAAATGCTTGACTCGTGCTCTGAATATTTTCTGGAACACATCATCATTTTCTAACAACCAGGGGAAAAATTTTCAATGAGAATCTCAACAAACAGTCCTAATAATTAGTATACGTGCACCATCCCGTATAAAAATGTCCAAAAAAGAACGTATGTAAACATCTGTCCGAAGAACCCGTTGGTGAGTAGTTGCTGACGGCTCCCGAAATATTTCTTCCAGTTGACCCCGGCCTTCCACAGCATTAACAACCACAGCACTGCAAAATTATAAATATACTAGGTCAGAGGTAAAAACTTTTTTTATGACTTAGCTCTAATCTACAGCTTTAAACTGGAAAGTTGTATCTTGATTTGATTTGATTTGATAGATTTTCCCTCAAAATTGGCAGGTTTTTTCCATCTTTGAAATGAACAAAGCTAGAAAATAAAAATAAAAAAATAATAAGAAATATATATCATATGGCTTACCAAATACTGAAACCGCGTAGAATCCGAATCCATAGAGAGTTGGTAGGCCGAGTATACCCGCCGTACTTCCGGATAAGGCCGCCATAGACGTTCTGAACAATATCAGTATCTACTATATGAGCCCCTGCACATGAATACACTCAAAATCCACCAACCCTTAATACCCTTTATTGGGAGTATTTATATTTTAATCAACAGACATTCTGACCAGTTAAAGAGTCGCCAATGCCATGGACGATCAAAACATAGGTATTAGATTCTTTAAGACTTAAGAATTTGACTGTCCAGTTTTTCCTCTTTTATATACTTTTAACCCAAAACAACGGTGAAACCTCTATAATAATTATTTTTTATACTTGGGAATACTTGTAAATTTGTCATCAGAGTTCCAGATAGGAGCATAGAGATGACGTCTTTATGTATCCAGCATTTTACTCATAGGTTTCTCATTCCTGCTGTTCCGGTATTTTATCATATAAAGACTTGAAAGTTTTAATATTTCCTGCTCTTTTGATATATTCTGGTAATTTGTTCCATTTCTCCGCTACTCTGTTGGTGAAGAAATTTCTTCTAACCTCAGTCCTGCATCTGGTTGTTAGTATATTTAATGCATCAGAAGATTGCCTGGTAACCCTGACTGATTCTTCTCCTGCAGTCTGGAAGAACTGTCTCCTGTCTACATCGTCGTAATTGTGCATTAGTTTGAACACTTGAATCATGTCGTATCTAATCCTTCTTTCCTCTAAAGATTGAAGACCAAGCTCTTTCCGTGCAAACTTTCCAAAATTAGTTGGTAAAATTAGTTTAACAAGGGGGTGGGAGAAAAATTAAATATAACCCCTGCAATCTTAATATTGGATGGATTGACATTATGACATTTGTTTTTAATCTTTGTGACAGAAACAATCTCAAGAACTGACGAGGGTCAACCCAACCCGAAATATATTTTCAAGAAATGAGGAACTAACATCTACTTTTTTTACTCTACAGAGGTTTGGCCCATCACCATCACCGAATTTTAAATTATGAAAATAGCTTTGGTTATATTACATACATCCCGAAAAATGTTGAGAAGAAACAATTTTTCCTGGAAAGTGTGAAGTTTAGGCTTAGGTCTAACAACTCTCACACATATAAGACTTCATGTACATGATCGTCTTGCGAATCTAAGACTTTATATCAATGATCGTTCTGTGGATCTACACATCCAAATTCGCAACAAAAACCTCAGCAATTAACATTTTAATAAAGTTTCCAGAATCTTCTGCTTAACTTTTGGTTCTAATAAAAATAACAGCCTACGCTGTTTACATTAAAATTTACATAAACAATAGTTTGTTCCGAGTACAAACCTGCAGTAATCTATAACAGCGTGGTTGTTGGCCATAGCTGTTTGACTGTAGGCTTTCACTTCCCCAGTTTTATCCAATTTTGTTCTAACCTTATCCGACATTTTATCTAAAAAATAATAATAAAAATAACGTTTCATAAAAAATAGAAAAAATATATCATCACTATGGGTTGAGCATCAATTTGTCTTTAAAGGAAGCACTTTTAATATGAAATGGTTGTAAGAATGAATATATAAATGTTTGCTGAATGGATTTTAGTAAATCTTTTTTTCTGACTTGTTGTAAATTTCAATTGTATAAGAAGATATTTCACATTTGGACTTTATGTAAATGATTTAAAGCCTTTAAATCCTCTAACCGATTTACGTTCCCTCAAAAAATTAAAAATTTATTTTTTCCGGTTGTCCGGTACCACAGGGTTCTTCTTCTTCTCTTTCTTTTTCTTCTTCTTTGCTACGATCTCTTCCTCAAGAGTCTGTTCTTCAACTTTCCTTTTTTTTTTCTTCTTGATTTCAGGAGTAGCATTAGGAGAAATCTCCAGCTCAATCTTTTTCTTCTTCTTGACTTCAGGAGTAGTATTTGGAGAGCTCTCCAGCTCAATCTTTTTCTTCTTCTTGATTTCAGGAGAAGCATATGGAGTGATCTCCTTACCAATCTTCTTCTTCTTGATTTCAGGAGTAGCATTGAGAGAAATCTCCTCATCAATATTTTTTTTCTTCTTGATTTCAGAAGTAGTGTTTAAAGAGATCTCCTTATCAATCTTCGTCTTCTTCTTGATTTCAGAAGTAACATTTGGAGAGCTGTCCAGATCAATCTTTTTCTTCTTCTTGATTTCAGAAGTAGTATTTAAAGAGATCTCCTTATCAATCTTCTTCTTCTTCTTGATTTCAGAAGTAACATTTGGAGCAATCATCTTCTCAATCTTCTTCTTCATCTTGATTTCAGAAGTAACATTTGGAGCAATCAATCTTCTTCTTCATCTTGATTTCAGAAGTAACATTTGGAGCAATCTCCAGATCCATCTTTTTCTTCTTCTTCTTCTTGATTTCAGGAGATGCATCTGCAGCAATCTCCAGATCCATCTTTTTCTTCTTCTTGATTTCAGGAGTGGCAAATGTGGAGACCTCTTTATCGAACTTTTTCGTCTTTTTGGTTTCAGGAGTACCATTCATGCAATTCTCCTCTTCAATCTTTTTCTTCTTGGGTTCAACAATATCTAAGGAGTTCTCCAATTCTTTCTTTTTTTTCTTCTTGGGGTCAGGAGTCTCCAGTTGGATCTTTTCTTGCTCCTTTGTTTCAGGAGTATTTGAAGAATCCTCATAATCTTTGCTTTTCTTCTTCTTGACGTCTTGACTAGCATCCCTCTAATTCTCCTGTTCGTTCTTTTTCTTTGATTCAGGAGTTTCAATTACAGAATTTTCTTGTTCAGTCTTCTTTTTCTTCTTGGTTTTAGGAGTATCAGGCATTAAATGTTCCTCTTCAGCTTTCTTCTTCTTGGATTCAGAAGAAGTATTTAGTAGGGTTTCCATTTCAGTCTTTTTCTTCTTCTTAGTCTTAGTAGATTTAGCTTTAACTTCAGTCATCTTCTCTGCAGACTCAGATAATTGACAATCGTTCTTCACCACTGATTTCCTCTTCTTTTCCTTCTTGACTTCTTTTTCCGGGAATTCTGTGGGAAAATTTTCGGCTGTTTTCTTTTTTTTCGATTTTTTAATATCGATATCCTTTGTGACACTTTCATCTTTCGCAACATTGTCCTTTTCTTTGTTTTTCTTCGTTCTTCTCTTCTCTTCAAACTTTTTTAAGGCATCTGATTCATCGCATTCTTCTTTTCGCTTCATCTTTTTCTTCTGCACAACTTCTTCCTCAATCTTTTTAGACTTCTGTCGTATGTCCTCTAAAGAGATCATGTTGATGGCAATTGGTTTCAGAGAAACTGATTTATTTTTGGGATTTGAGTCGTTCTTGCTTTTTTCAACCTTTCCCTTTATGTTTTTTTCAGATATGTCTTTCAACTTCTCTGGAGTTTCATTGTTATGTAACATTGTTTTTCCTCCGAGCCATTGCAATGATTGTTTCTTTTCAGAATACATCTCAATAGAACTGTTTCTTCTCTCCTCAAGATTACTTTGAAGTGAATATGAAGATTTCCTGTAGTTATCTTCTGTATCATCTTCAGAATGAAACACAGTTCGTCTAGATCTCGATGACTCTAGCTTCTGAATAGTGTTCGTTCTCGTTCCTTTTGATAGATTTTCTAGCAATGGCTTCATGGTGGCATACTTCACAAACTTATCATATGCTTTGCTATGCCAAGTATATTTACTTTTAGAGGATTTGTGGTCAAAGCTGGAATTGAAATGAATATGTACGTCTGATGGCTGGCTGGGATTGTTGTCTATGAAGAAAACTTGGGGCTGGAAAGAGTTTCCCGACCTAGTTTTCATTTTTTCTACAGCTTCTACAGATCTCTTCCAGTGACAAATTTGATTGATGACAGCGTAAGTTTCGTGTTTAAGGTGCTTTTGAATACACATAATCTGACATTCCCCAATAATATCTCCTGAAAAAAATAAAAATTAAATCGTTTTTTTTAAATGTATTTTTTTAACTTTTTAAGCCAAATAATATTTTTCTGTCCTTATAGAATTGTCGTCAGGAAAAGCCCCCACATATTTCACAGAAAAATGTTTTACTTTTCGAGCCAAATCTTTGAAAAAATAAAGATTAAATCATATTTTTTAATGTATATTTTTAAGCAAAACCAATAATTTTCAGTCCTTATAGAATTGTCGCCAGGAAAAGCCCCAACATATTTCCCAGAAAAATGTTTTACTTTTCGAGCCAAATCTTTGAAAAAAATAAAGATTAAATCATATTTTTCAATGTATATTTTTAAGCAAAACAATATTTTTCTGTCCTTATAGAATTGTCGTCAGAAAAAGCCCCCACATATTTCCCAGAAAAATGTTTTACTTTTCGAGCCAAATCTTTGAAAAAAATAAAGATTAAATCATATTTTTCAATGTATGTTTTTAAGCAAAACCAATAATGTTCTGTCCTTATAGAATTGTCAGGAAAAGCCCCCACATATTTCCCAGAAAAATGTTTTACTTTTCGAGCCAAATCTTTGAAAAAAATAAAGATTAAATCGTTTTTCTTAAATGTATATTTTTAAGCAATAACAATATTTTTCTGTCCTTATAGAATTGTCAGGAAAAGCCCCCACATATTTCCCTTCTTCTGACTTAGTTTGAAAATAAGCAAAGCGTCCAAACAAGAGAGTTTGAAAATAAGCAAAGCGTCCAAACAAGAGAGTTTGAAAATAAGCAAAGCGTCCAAACAAGAGAGTTTGAAAATAAGCAAAGCGTCCAAACAAGAGAGTTTGAAAATAAGCAAAGCGTCCAAACAAGAGAGTTTGAAAATAAGCAAAGCGTCCAAACAAGAGAGTTTGAAAATAAGCAAAGCGTCCAAACAAGAGAGTTTGANCGAATGAACCAATAATGGAAGTTCTGGAATGTTTCCTTTCCAAACTTTAAGATATTTTTCATCTACCGTAAAACTGTTTTCTTACCTATATTGAAACATGTCTTAGGAGTATTATCCTTCTTAGATATCTTATCATTCTGAACTAAGATAAGATGGCCCGCTGAATCAGGAATGACACAACTTCCCCTCTTGATGTTAACTTCCCTAAAACAGGGTGAGCTGACCCAGACTGTCTGGACATTGTTCGGCATACTAGCTTCAATCTTTCCCAGATATAGTCTTCTTTTAGGGTCATAATCAACACACTAAAATATACCCTGTAATACTTTAAGGATTTAATGGCTATGATATTATTTCGCCTTTATAGGATTCTTTTAGACCAAAATAATTTTTTTCTCAATTGAGTGATAAAAACCGATAGATGTGTCCTATCATTCCGAACATAGCGGGAAAAAAATTGTCGAATGAGAGGGGATGGTAACATGATTTTTTCCCGGAAATAAAAATTTTTAATTTTACCTCAAGTGTTAAAAAAATAACTGGCAAGTGTTTTTTAACAAAAAAAAACGTAAAAAGATAAATGCAATATTTCTTATGCGGATGAAGTTAAAAACTTAAAACATTACCTTTACAGGGAACCTAGGGCAGGTTGGACAAGCAAACTCTTTTAGGAATTTGTTTTCTTTTTTAAACTTTTTCCTTTTCCAGTCCAGCAGGTTGTGAGTCCTAAATAGGTGTGATTTAAGTATAACCAGAGGTTGGAATTAATGGATGAAAGTTAAACTAGGACTACTTTTTTTTATAAAATTTCAGCCACAACAGAAAATTAGTTCAACTAGGTAGAGATGGCTAATGTGGAATAATAAATTGGAATTTAGCCGGAAAGTAGCAAATCTATCTATCTATTATGACTCCCCAACAACACGAATACTATCAGGTAACCACCCATCCCTGCAACCCTCTGCCTCCTTCCGGAGTACGTGGATCACAGATCCAGGTTATTACTTTAACATTTACTTAATTTTTTTAACAAAGCAGAATTTTCAAATTTTTTGTCTTAATTTTTTTGGTTTATTTTTATGCTAAAACTTTATGGACCATTCAGAAATCAGGCAATTTTTATAATCTCTCTTTTTTCAAAAGTTCAGATTTGGGTTTTAAGAGTAAAAATCTTTTTTTTGCAGTTTTTGGTTGATATTTTGCCCCTTGGATCTGGATCCGTGGATCCGCATATTTTGCGGATCCGGATCCAGGTACATTTTTGAGTCAGACATACCACTCTATAAATGAATACATTTTAAATAATGTCTTTTGTCCTTTTTAAGATTTAAAGCTTACCATGAACAATCTCGACACGTAGCATGTGGATAGGTTTCCTTCATGTAGCATCCATTATCATTAGATCCATTATCATTAATAGATCCTACATCCTTAAATCCATTATCATTAGATGCTATATCCTGTGGATTTATTTTCTTCATAATTCCCCCTAGATCAGTAGATACTGAAAGATTCAGATGGTTTTCAGAATTCCACATGCTCCAGAAGTTAAACAGGAGATCCACCTTTAGACAGGAATATATATTCTCAAGAATGCTCTGGGGAACGATGAAAATTTAAACATCAAACAATAAGTTCCTCCAACATTTTGATACAATTCACACCCAAAAACAATGTATTTTCCCCTAGAAAAAAATCATTTTTCAAAATTCAGCGAATAAAAAAAGATCTGCGCAAACACAACAAACGCCTGGAAGAAAAATTATTTTTAAAGGGGGGATCTTTTTTTATAAAATATATATACCCTTGCCTTAGGATCAAACTCCTTCTGCTGCATATGGACTGGTTCGCAGACTACACGCTTCTCCAATCCAATCTTAATCAGGATAAAACTGGTTCCTTCACTATGGACATGGAGCACTGGAGAGAACAATGAACTTGGAACATTGAAGTTTGTAGTATACCTAAACAATTAGTTCATAAAAACTTTTAATCAAAAAATATTTTGTTTGTCTTAAAAACGCTTTCTATAAGGAAATGTAAACATTACTTAAATGATTCTATGTTTATAAATGTCCGATTTACAAAGGTACCCTTAGAACCTTTGTCTGAGCTAACAGTGTTTTTATTTCAACAAAATTTACTGGCGGATTTATACTCATTAAACAATAAAGAAAATTTACAGAATTCAACAATTATTTTACCTTACGTGTCGACAGTTTTTCGGCAAATCGGCCACTTTGCAGAGCCAATAGTTTTGATGCTTTTCCAGGCGTGTTACGTCGCACCAACCTTTATCGGCTAGAATATCCTGAAATATTTGTTGAATTAATTTTATTTCAATCAGAGCAGTGGCGCAACTAGAAGGGGGGGGGGGCGAACCGACTTTTACCCCCCTGGCATATTTCGCCCCCTTTTGCCCCCCCCCCATAACTTGATTCTAGCATGATCATGATTGTGGACCATCTTGTATCAAATATTGTCAATTAAGAAAAGAATACCAAAAATGTTCTTTGGTGCTTCGCGCATCATTTCCGATGGAATTTCTAACTATTTTCTCGTTTTCGACTTAAAGAATGTCAGTCGTTCTTGATTTATCCTCTCAAAAAACCTGTATATATTATTAAGAGTATTAAAATACATATATGATTTAAATTTAAGTTTACACAAAACCTGACAACCTGTATAACAAGAAATATAAGGATTATTTCGGACTAGTAGGACTTTTGCAGACTAATAATAATAATATTACAAGAGGATAACAGGAATAAGCACTTTACTGACAAACAAGGACAGAGGGAATTCGATCAGAATGACAAATATGGATTATGGACAGACGAAATATAGTCAAGTAGTGCCAGGAACTACTTACTGCTTGGGACTGCACAGACCTACGAATAAGGGACTATATAGTGGTCAGTGGACTAGAATTAATTTACTCATGTCGTTCATTTTAAAGCTGTTGGAAGTATATCTTTCTTAAACACAAGAACAAGCCATGGAGATTATGAGAATTTGGTATATTATTGTCTCAACCCTTCAACAATTAAAAAAAGGAAGTTTATTTACTTCAAATCCTGAAAACAGTACTTTTTTGTAAACTTTTCGACAGGGGGGCTAGGCTACCTGTAAACCCCCCCCCATGCCAGCCACTCAAAATCATTTTCCCCCCCCCCCCCCCCCTCTCACAAAAGAGCCAGTTGCGCCACTGAATCAGAGATAGATTAGAAATTAAAACTATCCCCCCCCCCCACTCTCAGAGATGTCGTTTTAGATTTGTTTGAAGAATAAAAGGAGAAGTTATGTTTAAGAAAAGACGGTTATGAGATTATACACAAATGTTAATTATAAGCATTAATATATTTTTCTTGTTACCTTGTTACGAGTTATACGGACATCTATCTTAGTGCCTAACAAAGATGACTTAGAAAAGATGTTATCAAAATCTTGGGTTACGTTTCTTTTCTCACTAGCTGGAACATCTGGGACAGTTGTCTTGGGAAAGAATTCATCGAAATCGTAGGCTTCGTTACTGCTCCCACTAACTGGAAGTTTGGGAAAATCCGGGATTCTAAAATTATCCGATATTTTGGAATTCTGCTTCTCTTGAATATCATTCTCATTCTCCTTATTCTCGTTATTCTCCTTATCTTGGCAGAGTTCAGTATTATTTATCGGGGGTAAATACGAATCCTTCATGATATTTTCCTTACTTTTCAGAAAGTTTGTTCTTGCAAAATCAGTGCATTTCAAGGTCGGAGTTGTCGATATATTAATAAAAAGGCTGTCATCATTTTCAACGCATTCATCTACATTCTTCTTATTCTGGCCATCTTTCAGCTTTGCTGTATCTAGATCCTGTTTGTTCTCCGTTAAATTTGAACGAATCTGTTGTGGTAATTTATTATCATTGTTTCTCACAGTTCTCTGTTCTTCAAATTCAACATCTAAGTCCTCAGGAACGTTTCTAACTGTTCTTTGTTCTTCAAACACAACATCCAAATCCTCATTGATTATCAACTCATCGAAGGAATTTAGTTTGCCTGGCTCTTGATCTTTTATTGGTTTATCTATAGCTTCCATTAATATAGTTATTTCTTCTGTTATTGGTTCATGATTTACATAAGCAGGTTCAACAATATCTTCTCTTGTGCCAACAGATCCGACATTCTCCGCTATCAATGGTTCACTATCTATCTCAGATGCAGCAATAGTCTCATCTATCATCAAAGATGTTTTCTGTTCATCCGACTTCTGAGCAATAAATGAATCAGATGTCAAAGATTCTGCGATTTTTTCAATTGTATTTGTTGTTTGAGTACCCTCATGAACCTGATCAGGACCGACCACTGACTGTAAATGCTGTGCTGGACTGAAAGAAGTGTCAACAAGAGCTGTACTAGTTTGATCCAGAATTCTGGGCTCAGAGGAGTTTTCACAGAGATCAATCACAGGAGTTTGGACTTTTTCAAGATGTTCCTTCTTATAATCTTCATCTTCTTCAACATACTCCTGATAAATAAGAAATATCGTTGCACACTTATTACACACTTTATCAAGGGCGTATACAGGATTAAATCTAGAGGGAGGGAGGAATTTATTCATTTAGAACAAAGAGCATCATTAGCGTAAGTAACCTTGGAGATAAACGAGTGGCATAAAATTCTTCAACCTTAGAGAAAAACTAGTGCCACGAAATTCTTGAAAAAGTTTATGAAGGACCAGATTTAAAAACTAGCGAATAGTAGTTAAACTACTTTGAACTTGGACCGGCGCACAAGAGAAGTCCTAGTTATTTTTGTGTTTGTACCTGTACTTGATTGATTAATTTAACTTCCATCTTTCTCTGGTTCCTGTTTCCTCCATGATGACCCTCATTCATCTCATTATCATCGCTGTCTTCAATCACTTGGATCTCAATATACTCCAGCTTTATCTGAGTTCTTATACTGCTCTGATAGCTAGATTTTATCTCTAAATAATACAAATCTTAACACAAATTATACTATAACTATTAACTAGGCGTGCATTTTTTCTTTAAAAAGTTTATCACCACCCCCTAGTAATACAGTTGCTTAATGTATGTTGAGTGATAAAATTAAATTTGGGTCAAAATAACTTGTCATCAGCTTTAAAGTGTGCTGTTGTTAATTGGACATAACACTTTACATTCAGAGACACTTGAAATTTCATTTACACCTTACAGTCTTAAAGTCTAATCCTTGTAATATTGATCTAATCTAAATAATAAAACAAGACATTATTTGTATATATGTTCCCTACAGCCGGCCAAACGGCTGGACCGAATGGGCTGAAAATTTTTGTGGACACTCATGGGAAGCCTGAGGGTGACATAGGCTAAAAAAATTCAACATTTTCTATTTTTTCCACGGGCTATACGCTCCCAAATATCATTTTACCGATAGTTTTAAGTGTCCTCTCATCAATACACAGAGGTTGAATGTTTAAACTGGAGGACTGGAGGAAGGTTAGAGGTTCAGAGTTCTCCAAGATAAAATGATGATATGGTTTGTTCACGTTGTGGGTCCTGTAACACAACACTAATAGAATACGAAGCATTGAAAAAATAAAAAAATGGACGAAAATCAACAGGCAAATTTTTACCAATTTATAATAATTATTTTCCCAAAATTATATTATTTTCGCTTTATACAGTTCTTATTTTCTGTTATCCAGAAGTAAAAAACAAGCTTCTTTTTGTTCCCCAAAAATAAAAACCAATTGAGCTTAAAAAATTTTTTATTTGTTTTTGATAAAAAATACATAAAAGAAAGATATCAAAGGATTGAGTTTTAATTTTAAGCTTTTAGTATATAGATAACTATTGTTTGCAGATTTCTTTCAGTTTTTCTTAAATGGATCTTACAAAAAACACGAGTAAAGAGTAAGCTTTAGAAACCCCTGACGGTTATTCAGTATATTCCCAACTGGATATTTGCATGTTAAAATTGTGGAAAACATACGTACTTGTAAACCCAGGTTGTAAACTGAAACATGTGATGAGTCGCCTCCTGACAGTTGTCTAGTTTCAAAATATGAACAGGTTTCACATTCTAGAAATATCAATTTTAAAGAAAATGTCATATTATGGTTTTCAGTGACACTACAGTGCTTAAGATCTATATCCGCAACTTCCAGATAGGGGATACTGATCTAAACGCTAAATATTAACCAAATGTAAACCGTTCAGAAGAAGAAATTAGAACGTAACGAAATATTTCAGAGCTGAATCCGGATCCATTTTTGCAAAACGGATCCGGATCCGCATAAAAATTGGTGCAGGCTAGAACAAGTGCGGTTAGGATCTTGTTGTGAATCATGTAAAGCAAACTTATCATGTAGAGATAGGCAAACAGTTCGTTGTCACAATTTGACCAGAGCTGGACACTTTATTGTTCTATACTCTTAACCCCGATCTCTTGATCTCGATAGCCATTGTTGGCACTTTAAATTTGAGGGTGTATAAAAAACTATGCATTTCCATTTAAGTTATTCTACCCATGATCAAAGCTCCCTTCAACCCCTGACTGGGTACGATCAGTTTTGTTTATTTTCCTAAAAAAACATTCCCAAATTCATCAAAAATCACCCCGTGAGGGGTGGTGCAATTCTGAAAAATATACCCCTATACGTTTACCGTGAGGGATATGGAATAAAAATTAAATTAATCTGCACATTTAAAAAAAGATCCTCAATATCCACAAAACATGAGGTCCCAGCACAGAAAAGATTATTAGGAAACTCTTTTCTTATAGAATCTACCTTGTTGACGATCTCCTCCAGCTCAGAGTGTTTGACCCCCAGCTCTGCCAGGTTGTGGGCGTTTAAGAACTCCTGCAGTGTTGTTACACCCTAGAAAAAAATATGTGTAAACTGAAAAAAGGAAAATACAATGGTGGTTGTTGACGTTGTAGTAGCCATAGAACCATAGAAATAGACATAGACATAGAAATGGTTGTGAAGTTCTTTTGGCCACTAACTGAATGGGGTAAGGTTCGCGCACCTGAAATGTTTGTTACAAATGTCTCATGGACTCGCATACTTTATGGAACCTACTCAATTATTGCATCACACTGACCAATTTAAGTGCTGGCATGTTTGCATGTTATGTCATTCAACGTTATGACCTCCGACAACGACTGTACTGAAATAACGCCGCGCCGGTCGGAATGCTAGGTGCAAGCAAGATGTTCAATGCTATATTGCAATTTTAGTTGAAATCTTTGGACGAAGGTTTGAACCCCCCCGCACTCAGTTTCATGACGTTACATTCTAAGGCACGGAGCTCCTTAGAAAAATATAAAATATAATGGTTGAACTGGATCACGTACAACGTACGTGGTGCATTTCAAATCAAGTGTAAATCTGAAAGGGAACCCAACGTCGAACCCTCAGACTGTCTTCAGGGCACAGGGTCAAACCATGCAGCTCCAGCATGGAGTCCAATACAGGCTAGAGCACTATTTATAACGACCATACTCTAGTGGTGCGAGTATAAAATACATTCCGCATTTCTTACGCACTTTAGTTCGCTCACGATAAATGCAAGTGAGTTTAATTATGTTACACTATATCTCTGGGGAAACTAAGGGAAAAAACTTTAAAATTACAAAAATACTTTTTTAATTTTGTTTTTTTCCCATCAAAGCTTAGAAAATATTTTTTTCAATCCCCTGGGTGATGGGGGACGGGAGGGAGGGAATTCTTGAAAATATTAACCCCTGTAAATGCAAGAATTTTACCTTGATGTTCTCCATAACCTACTTCCCCAGGTGATGGGGGATGGGGGGAGGGGGGACTCTTGAAAATATTAACCCCTGTAAATGCGAAATTTTCACCTTGATGTTCTCCATAACCTACTCCCCCGGGTGATGGGGGACGGGGGGAGGGGGGATTCTTGAAAATATAAACCCCTGTAAATGCAAGAATTTTACCTTGATGTTCTCCATAACCTACTCCCCCGGGTGATGGGGGACGGGAGGGGGGATTCTTGAAAATATAAACCCCTGTAAATGCAAGAATTTTACCTTGATGTTCTCCATAACCTACTCCCCAGGGTGATGGGGGAGGGGGGATTCTTAAAATATAAACCCCTGCAAATGCGAAATTTTCACCTTGATGTTCTCATTAACCCAGTCTGTCCCGATCTTCTCGTTCAGAACAGAAACAGTTTCAAGGGAACTAATAAACAAGTGAACCTGGAACCGATGGATTAACTTCATTCAAATTCAGAATTTCTAATTCCCTAGAAATCAAGTCCTGTACAAATATTAAATAAATACCTCCTTAATTCTTCATTACCACAATTAAATTTTTGGCTTAATCATTTCTTTGCCATAGTACTATCTAACCCTATAAAATTTGACAAATTTCCCCATGACAAAACTAATATAATGTCCAGCATAAACCCTTCTTTTACAAATTATTAAGTAAAAAATATTAATTTGTACATTATCAAAAATCCTCCATTCCTTGGAGTTGTGTAGAAACTGCATGAGCCCGGATAAAGCTTGAGCTTCAGTGCTGATCTCGATGCTCGTGTTCTTGAAGAACATCTTCTTCAAGTCCTTGTTAAACCTCTGCCCCAGAACACCAAGTAGCTCACTGCTCTGCCTATGTATTAAAATGATATTTACTTCTTATTTAATAATCATTGTTAGTAATTTTAATTAGAACGTTTAAAATAAAGTGAACTGGTGGGGGTTTCCCTTACATTTTAAGATTTGGTGGGACAAATCAAAAACAAAAATCGTTTTCAAATCTATATTCGGTTCTAAATGCAAACATACAAGGTAAAATTAGAACTTGCGTAAACATATAAATATCCTTTCCGAGAAGATCAATTTGTTTAAAATAATTCACATTTTAAACCAAACAGGCCGGTGACATATAGAAAAATAAAACCTGCTTTGAAATATCCCAAATACTTAAACTTCTCCACTGTAAAGCTGAAAGTTACTCTTTAAATATACCACGCACCCACACTCCCTTTTTCAGATGAAATTGTACACCATGAATAAAAAGATGAAACCTGTGTAAACTTCCCATCGCTGAGAAGCTCTAGCTCCAAGAAAGCGACGATACAACGAACGTCGCTGAGGTTCGAAATTTTCGGCTCTTTTTTCGAACCGCTGCTGTCCAATTCCTCTTCATCTTTAAGTTTTAATTTCAAATTCACTTCCATCGTTAATTAATTGAATTCATTTTCTGCAATAAGAAGTTTTCATTAACGTAGTAAATGTGTAATACTAAAAAGTCACTAAATGAAAAAAAAAACTAAAATGTTATGTTAAGTTGCTAATGCTGAATACTGAAGAGAATTGTTTGCGGCAAAGATCAGTCTGCAAGTTTTGTTTGTGTTAATCTGCGCATGCGTAACTCATATAAGGTTTTAGACTTTAATAAGAATTATGAGGTTTAAGTCACTCGGTGTATCTATAAAAACGCTACCCTAAAAAAACGCTACCCTAAAAAAACGGTACACTAAAAAAACGCTACATAGGCTATATTCGCTACAAATTTATTGCCTGTTTCTGTTTGTGTATAAGATTTTAAAATTCACATAGTCGTAAATTGAAAATAAATCATAAGTATAATTTAAGAGATATATATTTTTAAATTCTCATAGTCATAAATGGAAAAATTATAAGTGTACCACATATTATTACGGTCATTCATTCTTGAATGGGCAATTAATTCTATTTTTATGACATTTTACATGTACATAACGGATGCGTGATCTGTTGTATCCGACAGTTTAGTTCTTTTGGGGCTGGAATTATCTAAAAAATTGAAATACTAAGGAAATATGGAAACAAATGTTAATTATAAGCATTAATATATTTTTCAGATCTTCTATACCAGATAAAACACATGCATGATTGTCTGGATGAGGATAGGAATCAGGCTCCAGATGATATTCGTCATCTTCCTCTTGTTCTTGGAGCAGTACAGTAGCGAAACAACTTGTATATGTTTTTATCCGTTCACAGGAAGTACAAACAAATTGAGCCCTTACTTTGCCAGCCGATTTCTTTCCAATAATTCTTTTCTTTCTGTAAACATAGCTTCCTTCTTTCAGTTTAACAAACACTTTTTTAACAGTAGTTTTTGTCTTAACCCCATTGATAATAATGGTTTTAGTTCCATCCTGCACAGTTTTAGAGAACTCATGTTCAGGAAGACTTGGTAAAGTTTTTACAATATATGTAAAATAAACTAACAGAATCAAAGCTCTTAACATGGTTGCTGAATAATTACTGAAGTAAACAATGTGTATAAAGAAAAGGTGTATACTGTGTGGCGACCGCCAACCTGTATATACGGATTGAGGGGGGAGGGGAGTAGTACGATACTGAACAATACCTTGAACTTGTTACCATGTACATGGTTATGAAAATTTTAAGGTGGTGACCAAATTAAAACAATATATAAATTATCATATCAGTTATAAGTGGTTCTGGGGGGGGCGGTAGTCCATTACCCCCCCCCCCCTCTGAGTAAAATCAGGGAGGGGTGTAGCCCCCCCTTCTAAATTTTCAACTTTGTTCTTTTTTAGGTTCATCAGCCATAATTAAACATCTAGCATAAATGAAAAAGTGCGAATTTTGCTCTAAGGTTTCTATTAATTATTTTTGGGGTTGAATTTATTACTTATTTGTTTGCAATACATGGATATATTTGATTTTTTTTCTTTGCAATAGTTATACAGAAGGAGTAAATTGTATTATTCTGTACTATTTTTTAGCAAAACTGTAAAATTCCTAGCAGAACATTGAAGCAGTATTAGGAGTATATTGTAAATTTAGTTTCTCCTTCTATCCTCTTAAATCATCCTAGTTTAGTTAATTTTTCTATCCTCCTTAATTCATCCTAGTCTAGTTTTTCCTTCTATCCTCGTAATTCATCCTAGTTTAGTTTCTTCTTTTATACTCGTAATTCATCCTAGTTTAGTTTATTCTTCTATCCTCATAATTCATCCTAGTTTAGTTTACCCTTCTATCCTCCTTAATTCATCCTCGTTTAGTTTATTCTTCTATACTCTTAATTCATCCTAGTTTAGTTTATTCTTCTATACTCGTAATTCATCCTAGTTTAGTTTCTTCTTCTATCCTCTTAATTCATCCTAGTTTAGTTTCTCCTTCTATCCTCTTAATTCATCCTCGTTTAGTTTATTCTTCTATACTCTTAATTCATCCTAGTTTAGTTTCTTCTTCTATCCTCTTAATTCATCCTAGTTTAGTTTATTCTTCTATACTCGTAATTCATCCTAATTTAGTTTCTTCTTCTATCCCCTTAATTCATCCTAGTTTAGTTTCTCCTTCTATCCCCTTAATTCATCCTAGTTTAGTTTATTCTTCTATACTCGTAATTCATCCTAGTTTAGATTCTCATTCTATCCTCTTAATTTATTCTAGTTTAGTTTCTTCTTCTATCCTCTTAATTCATCCTAGTTTAGTTTCTTCTTCTATCCTCTTAATTCATCCTAGTTTAGTTTCTCCTTCTATCCTCTTAATTCATCCTAGTTTAGTTTCTCCTTCTTTCCCCTTAATTCATCCTATTTTAGTTTATTCTTCTATACTCGTAATTCATCCTAGTTTAGATTCTCAGTCTATCCTCTTAATTCATCCTAGTTTAGTTTATTCTTCTATCCTCTTAATTCATCCTAGTTTAGTTTATTCTTCTATCCTCTTAATTCATCCTAGTTTAGTTTATTATTCTATCCTCTTAATTCATCCTAGTTTAGTTTATTCTTCTATCCTCATAATTCATCCTAGTTTAGTTTCTCCTTCAATCCTCTTAATTCATCCTAGTTTAGTTTATTCTTCTATACTCGTAATTCATCCTAGTTTAGTTTATTCTTTTATCTTCATAATTCATCCTAGTTTAGTTCTTCCTCTATCCTCCTTAATTCATCATTCTATCCATCAATTTTTCCATTGATTGTACAATTACACAAGAACATTGAGGAACTAGAGTTTATTAGAACACACCGTACATATGAATATAAAATTTAAAAATTATATAAACTAAAAGTATTTTTTTTATATGGTTTTTTTCGTCACGAGCTTCTTGATCTGATTGATGGAATGATTTTCTTAAGGTTAGGTGGAAAAATATTTTTCAATGAATTCAAGGAAATCACCTAATCAAATCTAAAATTTTGTAGAATACTATACCAAAATTATAGATCAAAGTTCTAAATGTGCCGCCAAAGTAGCAACAGTTGCCGCTGGAGTAGCCAATCCGAGACTGTGCTCATCTTTCTCGACCAATGAAAGTAGAGTTTTTAATCGAGGGAATAAAGTTATTATCCTGGAAGGAAGGGGGAGGGAGTAGGAGGAGGGGGGTGGGGTAATACCTGAATATCTTGATTACTTCCCGGATATGCCATAGCGTAATTGATTATAATATCTTGGGGGATAAGACAATAGTTTATATTCATTATTCAATACGTACTCAATATTTACAAATATATAATAGATATACTATCTCTCTGTAAAAACCAACTGTGTGCAGTGCACACCAGTAAAATATAGGGTTTTTAGACCATATCTTAAAAAACAAGTTTATGGTGTTCTTGTATGACGGTTTAGTAACAGATTGACGATGAGTTTAAAATATTTCCTTTAAAGGGACAGTAAAGGAAAAATTAAAGGGGGTATAGGCTGAAAGCTAATCACTTTAGCTCTTGATCGCGACCCATGAAAGTTTTATCTGATGTTCCTGTCTCGAGAAATTGATATAAAACTGTGTTATAATTATACGAAAATTCATATATGTAAAACTTTGAAAATCTGAAACTTAAATCACGTGACCAGAACTCTCACCAATGGCAGAGCAGTATACTGGTCACATGTCTCCGCCTTTACCACGTGACCACTTTACTGCACTGCCATTGGTGGAATTTCTGGTCAAGTAATACGGACGTAAAAATAATATTATGAATGAAATCTATTGAAAATAGAAACAACAAATATAAAAGTAAACCTAAATTACAATTAGCTTTCTCTGGGATATCATCTTTTTCAGATTGGTTGCTGTTTTTCTGAGCATGGTCTGTTTAAACCTACTATTTCTATACGAAATTGTATATATATGCATTTTCGTACAAGTTTGAAACAGCTTTATATCAACTCTCGAGTTAGGAACTTCAGATAGGCGTCTCAAGGGTCTCGATGAAAAGCTAAAGTGATTAGCTTTCAGCCTATACCCCGATTCATTTTTCCTTTACTGTCCCTTTAATGCCTAAAAAGAAAACCAAGTTTTTCAAATCTCGCCTTACACTATAGTTTCAGTAGAAGTAAATATATTCATTTTCTGATAGCGCCGATCAATCGAAGGATTTATAACTCTAATTGGATAATAATGAGATAAATAGAAAGATATATGTTACCGCCAAACTATTTCTATTGGTTCAGAATTGACAACAAACACATGTCTGAACCCTGATTGGATCAGGCGCTAATGGACTCGGCATACAGTGGTACTGAATTATAATTCAGTATTTAATCTGGAGCATTTTTCTTTATACACAACAAAATTTACAAACTATTTGCATATTTTTTCTTTTAATACAAATAATATCAAAATAAAACCTATTTTAATCTTCCTTTACTAGCTTAAACTGCTAA